CAAAACACTCTGAAATGTTTGTATTGGAGCTTCTGGCATGAATGCCAAGCAGTACAGCATGCTGTTTCCAAATTTCTGGCAGAGTGAATTGTGTCATGGTGCTCTTTTTTCTCACAGATGGTGCCCAACTGACCCTACTATACTGTGCAGTTGACAAAATCAAAAAAAAAACAAACAAAACATATGCAAAAAAAAAAAAATATAAAATGGCGACAATTTACCCATCACCATGTATATATATATATATATATATATATATATATATATATATATATATATATATACAAAATTCTTTTTTATTTTTTTTTTAAAAAATTAAATATTTTTTAAATATAAATATTTTCAAATATATATATCAAATTTTTCTTTTTTTTATTAAATTTTTTAAAAATTTTTCAAAAATTCCATTTATAAAAAAATAAAATTTTTTATCTCTTTTTTTTTTAATGATTCAAGAAATTTATAAAAAAAAATAAAAATAAAAAATTAATTATAATTTTATAAAAAAGTTAGAATTTTTTTTATTTATAATTTAAAAGAAAGTTATATTCATCTGAGTTTTTATTTAAAACATTTATATCTTTTTTAAAAATTTTAATTTTATTAATGATCAGAAAAGATTTTAAATTAAAAATATTTAATTAAAAAAATCAAAAACATTGTATTTATATAAATTGAAAAAGAAATTTTTTTTAATTTAAAAATTTAAAGAAATTTTATTTAAAATAAAAAATTTAAATTTTAAATATTATTAAATAATAAATATATTTTTTTAAATTTAAATATATTTTTAAAAAAAAAATTTTATTTTTTATATAAATAAATATTTACAAAAAAAAAAATATTTATATATTTAAATTTATAAATTATACAATAAATATTTAAATACCAAAATAAAAAAGTTTTTTTATGACACATAATTTATATAAAATTTAAAAAATTTTTTTATTATTTTTTTTTTTTACATTTTAAATAAATAAATTTAAATTTTAACAAAAACTTTTCTACACATTCATAATCTATTAAGAATAAAATTTTTATAAATATTTAAAATTTCAAAAATAATTTTATTAAAAGATGAAATTTTAAAAATTTTTTTAAAAGAAAATCTTTTAAATATTGAAATATAAAAAATTTTAAATTTTTATTTAAAAAAAAAAAAAAAAAAAAAATTTTTTAAATTTTTTTTAATGAATTTTTATTATTTAAATTTTTTTAAATAAAATTATAAAATTTGAATTAAAATGTTTTAAAAAAAAATCAAAAAATTTAAAAAAAATTTTTAATTATCACTAGTATCATTTTAGATTTCCTTTTTAAAAAAAAATAAATTGATTTTTTAATAAAAATACAAAAACAATAAAAAATAATTTTTATTTAAAACATTCAAAATGTTAAAATTTTTTTAAACAAAAATGATTTTTAAAAATCAAAATTTTCAATTGTTAAATAAGCAATAGAAAAAAAAAATTTTTTTAAAAGGAAAAAAAAATTTTTTAAATAAATATTTAATATATATAAAATTTTAAATATATATTAATAAATAATTGTTATATCATAATATTAAAATATCTTGAATAGATTTAAAACCAATTTTTGATTTATGAAAAATTTTGTTAAAAAATGACAATTAAAAAAACCTTTATGAAAAATTTTTTGCAAAAAAAAATTTAAGTTCAAAAAAAATTTTAAATTTATTGAAAAAAAAATTTTGTTAATTTTAAACTGTAATCTCAATTAAAGTTGAAAAAAAAAAAATTAATCAAAAAGAAAAAAAATGATTTAAGGAATAAAAAAACCAATGAAAATTATTATTATATAGATTAATATAAATTTTATATAATCCATATTTTTAAAAAAAAATAAATAATATTTTTTTTTTTAATATCATTTGAAAAATAAACAAATTAAAATTTAAAAAAATATGTACAATTTGTTTTCAAATTAATAATTTTTTTTTTAAAATTCCTTAAAAAATTAATTCATTTAAAAAAATAACTAATTTCACAAATTTTTTAAAATTTTATTGATGATTTAAACCATAATATAGAAAAGCATAAATTTCAATTAAAAAATCAAATTAATAAAAAATTGAAATTTTTAAACTAATTGAAATTCACTTTCATTTTGTAATTTATCAAATTAATCCAAATTTGAAAGAATTTGTAAAATTTTTTATTTTTGAAAAAAATTTTTAATTTAATAAAAAATTAAATTTTTTAAAAATGAAAAAAAATTATAAAATTTCATACATCTTTTTTTTAATTTCATTTTTAAAAATTATTTTTATTTAAATTTTTTTTTTAAAATTTATTGAAAATTTTTTCATAAATTTTAAAAAAATATCAATTTTCAAAAAAAAATACAACATCAAAATAATAAAATAAATATAAAATAAAATTTTTAATCATAAAAATTGTTTTCTTATATTAAAAAAATAAAAAAATTGTGAAATTTTTTTAAAAAAAATTAAAATTAAAAAAAAATAATTTTTATAAAAATCCAAAAAAAAAAAAAATTAAAAATTTTTTATAAAACATATAAAAAAAAATTAAAAATAAAATTAAAAAAAAAAGACTTTAAATAATTTTCATATAGATTTTTTTTTTTAAAAAAAAATTCATTTTTATCAATTAAAAATTTAAAAATTTTTTTTTTTTTTTATCAATTTAAAAAATTGAAAAAAAATTTCTTTTATTAACAAGTTTTTTTTAATATTAAAACATTTTAAAATATTCTGAATACAAAATGAAAAAATGAATTTTTTTTAAAAAAATTGTTTAAATATTTTTTATTGATTGAATAAATAACAAAAGAAAAAATAAAAAAAAAAAAAAAAAACAGATATATTTTCAAAAAAAAAAAAAAAAAAATTAATTTTTCATCAAAATGAGATTTTAAATTTTTTTTCAAAATTTATGGGTTTTAAAATCCTATTAAAAAAAAAAAAAATTTTTTATTTAAAAAATAATAATTTTAAAATTTAATATTTTTTAAATTTTTTATTTTTAACTTCATTTTTTGGTAAATAAATTTATAATTTAAACATGAAAGAAAAAATTTTTGTTCTTAATTTTTAAATTTAAATTTTGTTGAATTATATTTTTAAAAAAAGAAAAATTAATTGAAAAAAAATAATTTAAATTAAAAATGATTTATTTAATTTTAAAAAAAAATATGAAAATTTCAAAATATCAAATTTTTTGCAGATAATATTTATATTTATTATTTATAAATTTTGAAAATTTATGTTTCATTTCAAAAATTTTTTAATAATGAAATACATTGTGAAAAAATTTCAAATTTACAAAAAGATAAAATTAAAATTTTTTTTTTAAATTAAAATATAAATCAACATTTCAAAACAAAAATTTATTTTTTTTTAATACCATAGTTAAAAATAATGATAAAGTATTTTTATATTTTTCAGAATGACATTTATGAAAAAATTTTATTTTGTGGAAAAGGGAAATATCAGCCATTTTATTTTTAAAAATTTAGTATAAATATATGAAATCTTATATATATATATTTTAAAAAACCAATATAAAAATTATTTTAATTTTTTTATTTAATATAAATAAAATTAAAAAGGAATTTTTATTTAAAATTTGAAATAAAAAATTGAAATATATTTAAATAATTTATAAAAAATAAAAACAGCTATTTAGCAAAAATTATATTATTATAATTTAAAGTTCTAAAAAACCAAAATGATAAAAAGTTTTTGAAAAAACAAAAAAAAAATCCTTTTAAATGTGATATAATATTTTTTATTTTTTTTAAAAAAATAAAATGAAATAAAAATTTTTTATTTTTTTTTCCATTTTAAAACAATATAATATGAAAAAAAAATTGTTTTTGATTTATAAAAATTGTTCAAAAAAAAAAGCAATTTAATATAAACATAACAAAATTTTTCAAATTTTAAAACACAAAATATATTTATATAATGAAAATATATATAAATTTTATAATTAATTTTTTCCAAAAAAAAAAAAAATATGATAACAAATATAATACCAAATTGAAAAATGTTTTAATATATATATTTCTTTTATGAAAAAATTTGTTTCATCATAAATATTGGTTAAATAAAATTTAAATAGAAAAAAAATTAAGAAATATTAAAATTTAATGAAAAAAAAATTTATTTTGGACATAAAAAAATTAATGTTTAATTTTTCAAAAAATTATAATTTTAATATTTTAATTAAAAAATAAAAAAAAACCAAAATTTCATCAGTTAAAAAATTTTTAAATTTATCATGAAAAATTTATGTAAATTTTTTCAAAAAAAATAATTTTTTTAAAAAAATGAATTTTTCTAAAAAAATTAATTTTTTTTTTGCTTCTATTAATTTTAAGCTTTTTTAAAAATTTGAAAATTTAAAAAAAAAAAACAAAAATTTTTATTTTAAAAATTTAATTCATTTTTTCAAAAAATAAATAAAAGAAATCTATTTAAATTTATAAAAACAATAATAAATGTTTAACTTTTGCAAAAATTCAAATTGTTTTTAAAAAAAATTTTTTTTTATTTTTAAATATTTTCAACAAAATATTTAAAATTTTAAATTGAAAGTTATGAAATTAAATAGCCAGAAAAATAAAATTTTAGAATTTCAAGTATATAACATTTGAATGTTGGAATTGAAATGTTTTTTTTAAATGATGAAAACATTTTCAAATATAAATTTTTTTAATTTTACTATACCTCTTTAATTGTTTTTAGGTCATAAAAAATAAAAATAAATTTAAAGTAAGCATAAAAAAAAAAATTAAAAAAATTTTAAAATAAATTCTTTTAAAATTGAACAATATATTTCAATGTTGACAAAAAAAAAAAATATTTATTTATGACTTTGATATATTTGGGTGAAATACCAGATTATTAAGAAATGATGACAAATGCTTATTACTTTGATGATGTAATTTCTTGCTGTTAATTGCTTGTTTTTACATTGCAGCCTGTTCTTAGTGCATCTGTGTTAGATGTGATGATACATCATGATAAGAAATATCCAGCAGAATATAGTACAGCTGAGAATTGCATGGAAATGCAGGTTAGTTTGAAAATCAATTGTATAATAAACTGTTATATTATCCATTATCCATATTTTTTCTTTTTTTAATCCATTGAGAATTTATCTTCCCAATGGACTAAACAAAGCAAGGCTGTAAGTTTCCAGTATCATAGGTAAAAAGATTTATACATAATAAATTCTATAATTCCTCAACCAATCTTTTATAAATATTATTTCCTCCATTGATAAATTTTTTATGTGCTGCATCCTTTCAGGACATGGCTACCACATAGCCCTCCACAACTTCCTATCCTTTGTACCTCTTAGTAATGTTTGTCTTTTTATCATCCTTCCCACTCCCAATTCTGCCATCCATTCAATCATGTAGGTGACACACTGTCTCCCCAATCCATTTTACCTTTAATATGTCCTGTGAGTGTCAAATTTTCTGAGCTCTCCTTCAATATGTATCCCCAAAATTTCAGCAGTCTCTGATTCTAAGTATGTGACTTTTTTTTGCATTTTCCTTAAGATTCTCATGTTGTTTACATGCTCTGTCCATGATATTCTCAGCATCCTTCTGTAGAACCACATTTCAGCTACCTCAAATGTTCTCTTTATCTGAAGAAATTGTCCAGCATTTACTGCCATACATTTCAGCATGCTTTTGTTTTTAATGAAATTTTCCAGTTTCATACTATTTTGCTTAGTTTTTGGAAGGCATTTTTGCTATTACTATTCATGTTCAGATTTCAATGTCACATTTGCTATCCTCTGTTTAAACACTTCCCAGATATTTAAACTTTTGTACTTGTCTGATTTTGACATCTCTAATTCTTAGCTTGCATCTTTGATTTTTATCTTGCTGATAACCATACATTCTCTTTTCTTATAATTGATGTTTAATCCATTCATCTTGCTTTCTTCTACTACCTTGTCTACATGGCCCTGTAGCTTTCTTTCTATACCTGCCATCTGCATATCATATAAGATTGCACCCACTGATAATAAATCCTGGTAGGGTCTCCAGCTCCCTTACGATAGCCTCAGCTGAATAAATCTGGTGAGAAAACACATCCTTGTCTTATGCCCTTTTGAATTTTTGTGTATCTATTCAATTCATTTTCTATCATTATGCAGGCAGTTTACTCTCTGTATGAGTTTTGGATTATTCTTACATCCTTTTCTGATAGATCTAGTTTTCCTAGATGTTAAAATAGCCTATTCTATGGTAACTTATTGCTTTGGCATTATCTATAAAACATAAGTGTACATCCTTTTGCATTTATATTGCGCTCTCTCTCTCTGATATTAATTTGATCATAAATATGGTAACTCTGTTGGTTTTGGTTTATAATACACCAATTATCTACAGATAGGTACCCCCCCCCCCAAAAAAAAAGTGGTCACCTGTTGGCTTTGTGTGGTAACCTGTGATGCCTGAGAACAGGATCCTGGTGGCTGAGCAGTATGAACCAAGATATTAATTGGTCATGTGAACCACATCACTCCTTTTTGGGCTTTACTTAGGCTACACAGGCAGTTGAAGAAGCCCGATTTCATAAATCTGCTAGTCGAGTCCTAACACATATGTAAAGTTCAAACAATAATATGTAAAATCAGTAGTTTGCTATTTACTTTTCCACCATCACAACTACTGGTGTGTTATCCATATATATATATATATATATATATAACACTAATAATCTTATCAATATAAACAGTAGTACTTGTCCGGCAAAACCTTAGGTTTTTTAGCTCATAAATCAACAAACCAATACCCAAGGGAAAAAAAGGGTAAAAAAAGAAAGAACTAAGAACATATATTTCTGGCAAAAATAATTGTCTACAATCTACATTCAGTCCAAAGAAAAAAAAACTCTGATATGAGTAAGTAAAATAACTACCCAAAGTGCTCAATACACTAAGCAAAACAAATAAAGCAAAAGTTAACTTTGATATATATATATATATATATATATATATATATATATATATATAATGTGCTAGAAAGTAGTGGCTGAGAGTCATTTGGTTTGGAAGATCCTCTTTTACATGGCTGTATCCCTCCAAACAACCCACCATACATGAGCGGAGGAGCTGATGACCTATAGGTGCAGAGATACTCCCAAACACAAGTATACAATTTTGTATCTTTGTTATGGTTGGGCAAGTGGGTTTCTCCTCTACCCTCACCTTGACATTACCTAATATTGGCCTCCAATGTGGGTGGTGAGAACAAATGGTGAATCTTTTACTCTCTATCTATCTATCTATCTATCTATCTATCTATATATATATATATATATATATATATATATATATATATATATATATATATATGGCATTCCTTAAAACAATCAAGACACTTTTCATACAGAATCAAGTTCTAAAGATGAAAGTGTGGTAATCCCTAATACATTTCCAAGATCATAGTCATGGAATCAATAGGAGATATTCTACTAACAAAAGCATCTCACTTTTTAATTGAGACAGTCATTTTGACTAAAGTGCCTCACAGAAATGTCAAGAAATTAAAAAAAATGGTACCTTATTAGTGGAAGCTGAAAAAAAAAGAAATCTGCTGACACTCTCTTAAGGATGACCAGTTTTCACAAGACCAAAATAAAGACTCCTACCCACATAAAACCCTAAATACAGACAAAGGTGTAGTGAGGAGCAAAAAACTATCCTTCTGTATCCCAGATAAAAAAAGAATTACAGAAACAAGGTGTAAAAGATTTTAATGGAATCACAATAAAAGGAAGAAAACAAAATACTTTAAACAAATACATCCATATATATACATACTAACATTTAACAGACCAAGAATCCCACAAAAAAAACGGTTATGTCGTGGGAAAAGTAGAACAGTACATTCTGAACTCCATCAGGTTTTGCAAATATCAAGAATTTGGATATCATTTATAAAAAAAATGTGCTAATAATCCAGTTTGAAAAGCATGTGGAAAAAAAGAACCTAGCTACCAAGAAAATGGATGTTGCAAAATGATCAAATGTACACATTGTGGAGAAGAACATGCTGGAATATGTAAAATCTGACGAAAAGTAAAGGAAATTTAAAAAATAAAAATCAAATACACCAGAGACATCCCATTTTCAGATACATCAAAATTAGTTGAAGCACAAATGCAGAAGTCAAATATGCTAATATTGTAAAGGAGTCGGCAAACTCAACCAATGTCAGTGAGCAAGACAGTACTACAAAATTATTGCACCATGGAACAGGTCACTAGCCAAGATTTATAAAAGAATTAAGACCAGCATTAACCAAACAGTTTACACCCAGCATTGAATTAACCTCAGGGATCAAATCAGTTGCCTTATAAAGTAATGCAGAAAGAACACCATAAAAAAAAAGAAAATCACCTGCACATTCCCAAAAAACAGAGAAGCTACCTTACAAACTAGAACTCCCTGAACAAGAAAAAGAAACTCAGCAGTTTAATACACAAATGAAGGAAATTTTGACACAAAACAAATTTGATAGCTTGAAAACACAAAACTTAGAAATAAAAGTAGTCAAAAATTCAATAAAAATAAAGATCTCCAGAAAGAAAAGAACAAGAGAGAGAAACCCTCATTAGAACTGGTAATAAATCTTAGCAGGAAAAAATCCTAGTCAAAGAAAGTAACCAACTTCAACTATGAGCAGATCCAGTAGGACAGAGAGTATGATCATTGAGGACCAAAATGGCAAGACACATAATACAATGGAACATGAAAAGAGTTAAAACTAATTTAGGAGAACTGATCTACTCCTTGTGAATCTTTGCTCAGCAGTAATTTGCCTTCAAGAAACACTTCTTAAAGAAAATCAAAAGATTGACATCAAACCCCACACTCCTTATAACTACATAAATAACCACTCTTACAGAATTGCACTTGGCACATTCATACACATAAAGCACTCCATACCACATGACCAAATATCACTCAATACAAATTTACAAGCAATTGCAGTGTCAGCAACAATACACCAAACTATAACAATGTGCCCAATATATATTCCACCAAATAATAATATTACAGCAACAGATTTAAACAATTTAATACAACTGAAGCCTTTCATCCTTATGGGTGATTTCAATAGCCACAATGAAATATAGAACAGTAAGATGACCAATAAAAAAAGGCAAAATCATAGAAAACTTACTGAACCAAAAGAATCTATTCCTATAATCAATTCATATAATAATTATCAGTGTTAATTATTTATATATTCCCTGTTCCATCTGTAGTGGAAAAGGAGGTAAATCAACGTAAGTTAGTAAATTTATGAATGATTACTTCCCTTAGTCATTTTAATAATCTATACAGATGAAATATTTTCATTTAGATAAAATTAGTTCCTGAGCAAATTGAACTGTTTACTCCTACATTTCTTAGATTACAGTCTTATTTGTTCAAGCCTTTCATGTGGAGCACTCTGCTACCTTTGTCTAAGTGATCATTTTGCTTCAACTTGGTCTTGAAATGGGCTTTGTCATACTGTTGCTAATCTTTTCTTCTGAGAAATATTTCCATTACACTGTTATATTAAACATACAAAATTTTTTGGCAAGTATATGAAGATACCTGTGGAAGTGACCACTTCCCAATTATATTAGAGCACCTTGATCCCATTCCTGAGGACAAAATACTAAACTGGAATCTGTATAACGCTGATGGGGAAAAAATATTAAAAAAAACTTTGCCTCAAACTAATTCCAGAAACAAATACTAGCCAAGAAGATCCTATCACGCACTTCAGCAAAATGCTCCTCCTATCACGCACTTCAGCAAAATGCTCCTCCTATCACGCACTTCAGCAAAATGCTCCTCCTATCACGCACTTCAGCAAAATGCTCCTCCTATCACGCACTTCAGCAAAAAAATCCCTCCTATCACGCACTTCAGCAAAATGCTCCTCCTATCACGCACTTCAGCAAAATGCTCCTCCTATCACGCACTTCAGCAAATGTTCCTCCTATCACGCACTTCAGCAAAATGTCCTCCTATCACGCACTTTCAGCAAAATGCTCCTCCTATCACGCACTTCAGCAAAAATGCTCCTCCCTCATCATCAAAACTCCACTTCAGCAAAATGCTCCTCCTATCACGCACTTCAGCAAGACGCTCATATGTATTGCCAAAATACTCTTCACCCACAAAACACAATGAACCTTGGTTTAATAAAGAATGCAAAATGCCATCAAATCACGCAATACAGCACCCAGGAAATCTAATAAAATCACATCAAAAGAAAACCTTTCAAACTACAAAAACTGTAGAGCCATAGCAAGACAATCAAAGAATCCAAATGAACTACATAGAAAATTTTCATCAGTAAGCTAAACACTAATATAAACATAAAAACAGTTTGGAGGATGACTAAAAAAAAGGAAAACACCTCACCAAAAATGATAAAAAAGCCACTAATGATAAAGAAAGGAATTACAAACCTAGCAGAGAATGTCTCACAAAATACATCCTCCAAAAACGAAATGAATGAAAAAAATAAAAATCAACTTCATTTTTCAAGACAAAGAAAGCTACAACCAATCATATTCACTGAAAAAAATCTCACATTATGGCTGTAGGTCCTGATGACAGTCACTAAGAATTTCTAAAACAATTGAACAAAACATCTATCAGCTGGCTACTACAAATATATAATGGCATATGGACCAGTGGTAAAGTTCCAACTTATGGAAACAAACCACTGTGATCCCAATAATCAAATATACAAAAGACCCTAATGACCACACATCACATTTCTGACCATTTGCATTTGCAAAATATTGGGAAAATGGTCAACAACAGGCTATGTTGGTACCTGGGATAACTTAATTACTAAATACAAATTGGATTTTAGAAATAAAAGAAGCACCATACACTATCTTCATACAAGAAACTTTCATCTGAAAAGAACATGTAACAGCAATATTTTTTTGATTTAGAGAACAACATGTATGAAAATTGGTTCACTGTGTTGTGTTTAGCAATTTTTCTCACCAGAATCTATTTTACACTTTTATAAGTCAATCATTCATCATAAATATTGTTGCCACATCTGGTCTGTTGCTTCTGCTAGTGTATTTAGAGATTCTTGATAAAATCTAAAGAATCATCTGAAATGTTATTGGTCCTGACCTGGTGTCTTGGCCTCACTCACTTTCTCACTACTGTTTGGTTCTTTGTGTCCCTCCCAATCTTCTCCATGTACACAAGCATCTTGGGTTTTCTTGAAATCAGGTATTAGTTACTAGTTGGTCATTTGTTTGTACCATTAGATCCATCTTTTGCCATGTTTGTTTTGGGTTCCTAGTCTGAACTTGCCAACTATTTCACCTTTTCATTCTTTCTCCTATGATGATGGTAATTTCCAGCGATTTGTTTTGTTTTTTTTTTCTTTTTAATCAGAATCACCCCATGCAAGGTAGTAATGCCACTAAAACACAAGAAGTTACAAGATGTGGAAGAATTAGAAACAAATATTACTAATGAGCAGAAAGACAAGAGTAATCAGGTGGACAGTAGATATCAATTGATATTGCATTTAAGCATAAAAGCTGGAAAGCATGAAGTTGGAAGGAGTTCCACAAGTGAGAAGTGCGACAGAAGAAACTGTTAACATAGAATTTATGGCTACATCTAAATTCAAAAACTCTAACTACCATAGCAAAGAGCTCATTTGAACAATTACCATGAAAGTATTTATAGAAAAGACATAGACAAGTAACTTTACAGTGCTGGGAAAGTGACTGGAACTTAGCTGCCAAATCAGGGCCAATAATATTGCAGATTCTTCTTTGGATCTTATCAAGGAGCTCATGGTAAATAGCAGGGGTACCGGACTACATGTGGCAGCAATATTCTAAGCATGAGCAAATGGTAAACTTATAGATATGTAAGATATATTCTAGAGAGAAAAAAAATGTCTCCCCTGACATAGTGAACTGACTTTCTTAGCAGCTGACCTAGCAATGGATTCAATATACATTGAGTTTTATCAATTTCTTCCTTCATGCTTTGTACTGTCAGTGCTTATTAGTGAGAGACCATACCAATATTTTTACTGATATGATTCATTATTTTCAGGCCCTACAATTTGTTTGGGAAACTGAATGAAAAAAGCACATTTATTAATAAAACATTTAATAGAAATATGAATACAAAAGCTTATGAAATAAATTTAGATATCCTTTTTATTTAAAAAATTTGGGTAAAAGTTTAAACAATAAAGAGAACAATTTACATTACAATTAATAGCAACCATTATTAGTTGAATCTTTACAAATTATACACATTAGAAAACTAGAATCATTTTTTTTTTTTTTTGTCAAACAGTGAAAAATTTAAATTCTAACCAATGTTTATTTTCAGACCCAAAATTATGACAATTGGAAGATTTTAAAGATTTTTGATGATAACCAAAGTAAAGCAATATGTCAACTAGGTATTTAAGTGATTTATGTAAAGAAATTGTTCTTTATTTAGAAAAAAAATAAGAAGAATTATCTTAAGAGAGCCCGGTAGAACGACAACATGATTTTGTTTCATAATTTTGATTATAATTTTCAAATTAATAATTATAATATTAAATGAGTGAATTGATTTTTAAAAAAAATAATTAGAAATAAAAATTTTATTTTGAATTGAAACCGACTTTAAACTAGCTAACTTTATGGAAAGTTTGAGAACTGAGTATTTTTTTATTCTTTTTTATTTTTACACAAGTAAAATAAATTTACATCATACTTATTCTAGGTGTTATTATGTTCTATAAATTTTAATTTTACTGATAGTTTAATAAATATTTATAACTTTTTATCATTAGTACCGGGAAGGAAAATTAAGTTTTAAACAAAAATAAATCCAAAGAATCATGTTTGGAATTGGAAATGAGTTTAAAAATTCTCTGATGTTGATTCTGATACCACAGAAAGTTCCAGTTCATCGTTCTATCACTAGCACTTATACAACTATAGCTGATATTCTAAAGGGCTTTCCTTTCAATTTAACTAAAAGGATTTTTCTAAGCAGCTGACAGTATACCAGAACATATTTCTTATGTCATTGTTTAATATTGATCCTACTCCTTTTTTTATTTCTGCATATAGGACAAAATCCAAAAAAATTTTCATAGAATGTTAATATTTAGCTTATTCATTTCCTGTTTTATGTTTTCAAGCTGGCCACATTGAATTAATGTCCTTATATTCTGTGCTTCTATTACTATTTCTTGTTTGTTGTGAACAGTCATTGGATAACAGTCTGATGATACCTGTTGCTCATGTCTTCTCTTGCTAGGTGTCGGGTGAGCCCAACAAACTTGACCCCAGTCATGCTGTTATCTTTAATACTTACATTGCTTATTGCCATGATTGTTCTTGTGATTAATAGTGGAGGCAGTTTTCCTTCTATATGTTGTTTTTATTGAGACATCAAGTCTGGCTGTTGACTAATTACGAGTTCTTCTTTACGAGTTGCTAATGGGAAGACCAACTTTAGTCTCTGACAATTTAATAGTTACAAAAGTTTTCCTTCTTTAAAAAGAAAATGTATCTTAATCTTGATTTGAATAATGAGTTGTGAAATAAAATAAACAACCCACTCATTTGTTCTTTTTACTCAAGAAGTGAAGTAGCCAGAGACAAGTAGCACAATTGATGAATTAAGGATTCCATAAATATTAAAATACTTCTGAAGAGGAACATATTTTAAGTTTGAGTTCCTGAAAAATGACATTTAAATAAAGCAATTGTAAAACTTTTCATGTATTAATGTGAAATTATAAGTTCTCTTTCAGAATATAGTTTGATGTCAATTAGTTAAATGAATTTGAAAGAAATTATTATAGTTAATAAATGTCTGCAGGCAAATGGCAAAAAACATTTTTTTTCTCTTCATCCTTTCCTCTATCACTCCTCTTTGCTCTCACTCCAACTCTCTGTAACCCCTTGCATGCTAGTGGCTTCCCACCTTGCTTGGAGTGGAATGCTTAAAAAAAAAAATTCTTTTCAGCATAATCTTTGTCCTTGCTATGGTGAATATTAATCACACAAACTGAACATTATACAGTGTAAATTTCAGATAAAAATTCAGCATATTTCAGGCTACAGCTTATATATATATGTGTGTGTGTGTGTGTGTAGGTGTGTACACTGGTTAATGTCTTGTGTGAGGTTGTAATGTAGCTAATAGTATGGGGTTAAATTTTACATTAAAATCCAATTATCATTTACAGTAATTAATTAATAAAAGAATGACATCTTGTGGAAAAGAACTATTTGACCTTTCTTTTCTTTGATAAAATTTCTGATTTGAAGTGTAATTTGTTTTTCTAGTCACTGCAGCTGGCTGCTTTTATGATGACAGTTTGCAATGTTCTGCTAGTTGTCCAGGACTGGTTCACAGATATCAACTTCTTAAGGTAACTATATTAAATTTGTTTCTTAAAAATATTTTTTTTTTAATTAAAATAAAATAACATGCATAAGACTAAAATACTAAGGACATTGTTTTATATTTAAATATTTATACACCGTTATGGCTTGGTGGTAAATATGTTACTCCATACAGAAGCTTCCAGGTTTGAAAGTAAGTAAAGAAATATCCTGCCTCATGAATTTAATCCTATTTTCATGCTGATATCTCATCTGCATTGAGCCTTGGGAAGGAAATTTGATTTTACAAATCCAGTTTTTAGTTTTCATGCTTAATATTATCTTATATTTTTTAATTTTTATTTAATTTTTTTGTTATTAAAATGTTCAACTTTCAAATTATTCTATCCATGTGAAATATGTTATACAGATGGATTGAAGTTATTGTAGCACTGTAACAAAGTAACTTGTTAGTTAGGGAAGTGTATTTTATATTTCCAGGTTTTGGTGGTAGCAAAAGTTTGCATCTTTTGATGAAGTCAAATTTTCCCAGGAAATTTGATTGAAAACATTTATTGTTCAAACGACTGCAGATTTTGACAGGTGACATTTGTTTTGTCTATGTTCACCTAAAGGCTTATTAGATGAATATGAAAGGTTGTTATTTTGAATATTGATGGCCTTGAAGGTTGGCAATATTTAAAGTCTCAATAAGTTAAAAAACAAACCAAAGGAAATGACCCTTCTTCTGATCAAAGGAGGGTGAGAAAACACGTAGGTAGATGGGTCCTTATATATACAGCATTTTGGTGAACGGCAGGGGAAAACGACAAGAGAGACACATTGAGAATTGGTTGATCAACGCATGCAATTCACACCCACCTGAAATTAACTCGAAGTTCGATTCTCTGATAAAAGTTTGAGAATACATTCTTTGATTTCAAGTCACTACCCGATCCAGAGGTGTTAAGCTATATCAAACTTTTGTAAATATTCTATCTATATTTACTATTATTAAAACTATAATTTTTAACCAAGATCAGGCTTTCTACTTCTTCCGACAAGAACATGACTTTTTCTTTCTTCAGCCCAGTCATCTAGGAAAATACCACAGCTTACTGAATCAAAGGGAAGGGCACCCCCCCACACACACACAAACACCTTTTCTTGTCCGTAAGAAACACAACACTTACCAGCAACTCTAGATGATTAACAATCTAACTGGCACCAACTCCTTGGCCCGTTTAAAACTGTATATAACCACCCTGACCCCACAGCCATCCCAAGGTGAAAATATCTATGAGAGATGGGGTTCAAATTATATGGCTGCATGTCCTTGGGGAAGTGGGGGTTACATTATAGCAGTGATACAAATTAGGGAATTTCCATAGTTCTTGCAAATAAAACTTAATTCTCTCTTTTTTTTATATGAGCAATAAATTAACACTTATCAGTGAATTAAATATATATTTTTATTATCAAGACTGTTATCCTGATAGATTATTATTTCCTTTTCCCAATGATTCTTGTTGATTATTGTTTATGCGGTTCTCTCAAAGAAGCTTATACAAGATACCTTTCATATGGTTAACGGGGGTTCATTTTACTTGCCCTGCAATGTCCTACATTCCATGTAAAGTATACACATTTTGTCATCACAATCAGTTTCAAATATATAATATTGAAATAGGGTTCAATTGTAACCACACCCTCTGCCCAGTTGAATTACATGGAAGCCAAACGTAAAAGTGATTAATATAACCAAGATGCAAATGATTTTTCATCACTTTATTTGGATATTTGAGGTGTGTTGATTATCTCCCCTGTAAATATGTTAATTATTCTTCAGTAATGTCTTCCTTTGATTGCTATCAATCTTAACTGGCAATGGAGCATCATTCAACAAGAAGTCTCCAGCATGAAAATTTGAAAACCATGTTTGATTGGTCACAACACCGCCTTCACAATTTTAAAATATTTTTTTGCATTTCTTTTAAATTTTTACCTTTCTTAAAATAAAAAGAAATATATATGCTAAAAATGCCAATTTTGACAAATTATTTTTAGTGCATGTTAGTGACGTCTATCATCAAAATGTGATCTTTTTGAAAATGGTTAGAACCTAATATCATTAAAAAAGAAAAAGATAATATTTTTAGAAAAATTTATATGAATCAGAAATAAATGAGAAAGTCATTTGGTGTTGAAACATTTGTTATTTATGCTAGTCATTATCATTTTATAATGTTTTTACCACCAGCGTGGGGGGTGCTATTTTTTGTTAAGATTTTGAAATCATTATATAATGCTGTTGTTCTCTATCTTCTAAGATAAACCAGGTCTCAATTACTGATCTACAACCTCTTTTTTTTTTTCTTTTTTTTTTTTTTTTTACTTTATCTTTTCTTACTACCTATTCTACAGAAGCTAATGGCCTGAATTTTTTCTCAAAATAAGATCATCAGTTATCTTCTTTTTTTCCTGAAGGTTTTTATTGACTGCAGAAATGCTGAAACCTTCTACTCCAAATTCACATGATGGTCCTTCAGTGCAAGAAACTTCTTCTGATTACTATCCACAGTTAGGTAAGTGTATATTTTATATATATATTGATATGTTGCTAGATATTGTGAATAAATTTTTGTATGTACATCTTTTGTATATCTATATAAATGTGGAAATATATGTCATGATATTTGTGAGTACATTTGCATTATATTTGAAACTATTAGATATGTATATTTGAATTATAGTTATATATTTATATTTGGAGGTATATAAGTGGGTATATATATGTTATTATTTTACTAACTGCCCTCTCTTGTAAATAAATGGACTGCTCTATCATTAGAGTATGATATAAATATCAGTATATAAATTCTGCAGTGGTCAGTTTTCAATCAGCTCCTGGCGAATGCATTGTGCATGAAACTCGAGAGTTATACTGGTGAGGAAAAAAATGTATATTTATTATTAATATAAATGATTACTCTGTTAGAGCACTATTTTATTAGCATCAATACTCTGTGTGTGTGATAGAGATATATATATATATAATCCCTCACCGACAGCATGACTTCATGCACAATGCAGTCTTCTTGTGCTGATTATAGACTGGCCATTATGTAATTTAAAAAAATATATCTGGTTATTGCAATGTTGGTGTAGTTATATATTATACTGGGATTACAGTTTTTTAATTTAAAAAATTATATTTGGCATTTAAAATAAATGGGATTTGTGTGTGTATATATATATATATATAAATAAAGTGTGTGTGTGTTAAAATAAATAATAATTTTAATGGGGGTGGGGGGAGTGGCCCTGAAAAGTGCTGTTTTTGCATTCTCAATCTTGTTTCAGCCTCATGTGCAGCAGCATCTGAAGAGGCATTTCTCCTCAACTGTTGTGTCCATTGATCATCATTTTCAGCCTCGTGCACAGAAGCATTCAGATATGCTCTTCTGGAAAGCCAATGGATTCAGTAGCTCTGATTGAAGCATACTGAGAGACATTCTGAGACATGTGAACTGATTGTTCTAAATACGATTTGTTAACTCTTATTTGCATGGCGGACTTGGCAGCAGCAGTTTTGCGACCTAGGCAAGTTCTTTTATTTGGTGGCATGTCTTAGGCAAGTATGAATTGTCAAATGGAATGCATGGGCAAATACCAGAAGAGGATGCCATAAAGCTACAGGGATCACCAAGCTCAAATAAGTTTAGGAAAACTATTGGAAAAATAAATGTTGAGCAAAAAAGCAAGCTTAATTATTACTATGGTGAATGCAATGCAATGCAAAAACTGGCAGAACAATAAAAAAATTTAAATTGGGAATGGCTATAAATGACAATGAAAGCAATGCCTTAAAACTGTAGTAGTAGTAGTGTGCTTTATGCAACGGAAAAGGTAACCTTACTTGGGAGAGATTGAACGTTTGGTCAAGAGAAGGTGAATGTGTAAGTAGGGTTGGATGAAGTAGAAGTGGAATTAACTGGTAGCAATGAGCTTAAGACTGCATAGACAACCAGTATGACATGGCAACATTTGATTGGATGTGTAAAGGGACTTTGTATCACCAACGAGCAACTTTAACAGGTGTTGCGTTCTGCAGGTCATGCACATGCATCAGTGTGTGTTGCAGGGCCACACACATATATGTGTTGCTGCACATGCTTATTATGAAGGTTATGGGCAACGTGTGGAGGTACGAATTGTGCCCACACAGTAGCTAGGATTGGAAGCTTATGTGTGAAAAAGTAAATTAGATTTTGCCTTTGATTTTTGCACAAAATGTAAAAAATTAGTTTTTTTTCAATTTTTCACCTTCAAGCTTGTAGTTTTTTCCAGTCAATTTGGACTCAGTACGAAGATAATCATTGCATCACATGGCTCTGAAAACAGCCAATTCACCCTGAATAAAAGGGGTAAGCTAAATTAAAGACAACAATAATTAGGGTTCTTAATGAACCAAATATAGTTTCTTTGAATATACCAGTTGTCACTTGTTGATAATCTTCTCTGTGCCCTGGATGGGAAAAATCGATTCTGTCTGAATCTTCTCTCTTCTCAAATCCAAGAAGAAGGTTTCTCTTTAGACAGAATTCTCTTAGTCTTTCTGCAGCCTTTGTTTCTGTCTAAGGGATACAGTTGCCGTAAACCTTATATGTTCATAAATTAGGCTGGCTAGCTGAAAACAAACGTATGAAAATTCTTGTTATATTTTGGCATTTATGGAATCTTCCCCACAAGAGAATGAAGGAAAAGACACATTTAATTTTTGCACAATGAAGTATATACACAATCACTACCCCCCAAAAAAGGAGGCAGAGCCAGAACCAAGACCAAAATATAAACAGAACCCATTTTTTGGTGGGGGGGGGGTATACATAACAGGAGAAAGAAGCTCGAATGTATTTCTTTTTTTCCTTTCATTCCCTTCTCAAAAAAATTGTAAGAAATCAGATATTGCCACTTTTACACCCAAATCCACCACTGCAGATTCATTTTTAGTCTTTTAGTTTTAAATAAATCTACCTTTTGTTTTAATAGTCATAGATTTTACTATAAAAATCTAAGAAATAATAAAACTGATTTCTATCTAATACATATGTATATACTCACACATGTGAGAGTTATAGATCATAATCCGATAGGATGATAAGATAAAGAAGAGATAGGAAACATTTAGCAATCTAATGTTTCACTTTTATTAAAGCTTCATCAGAGATTGAGAGAAAACAGATAAAAAGACATAAGTTCTAGTATTCTCAGTTTTGTATGGTTTGATTTTCATTGTTCAGTCATGAATTATGTGCATTATATATGTAGATAATTCTATATGTATGCAAGTTTCTCTATGCAGGCATCAGATGATAATGTGTATTTGTAATTGTGTGTCTAGTAGAAGTTTTGATGGTTTTTTTTTTCACTTTTGTTTAGTCAGCAATGTCCAACAGACAACAATACTAGGATCTTTATCCCCGCCTCCAAGATCTTCAGGGATATAATTAAGAAAATAAAAAAAAAATCAACACAAATTCAGATGCCAGTATTTATCAAATAAACTGTTTACAATGCAAAAATGTTTATGTAGGGGAGACATAGAGTAATCTAAAAACCCACATCTACAAACACAAAAGAGATTTGCGTTTGAACAATCTTTCAAACTCTTGTATTACACAGGAACAAAACCAGTCATAATTTGATTTTACTAACACCCCTCTAATTAAAGAAGAACATAATTCTTTCAAGAGAAAATACTTTGAAAACTTAATAACATTATTTCCAACTATAAACACGTCTAAAACATTATATTACATCAATGTCCTTTGTTGAATCCATTCTTAGAGTCTACACCATATCTATCTAATACAGTACATACATAAAAACATTTTCATATCAACACATGATAAAACCAACGTGTTGTCTTATCATATATGCAGTACAGTTTCAAATGCTACCCAAGTTTGGGTTGTTGTCTAGCAATGTCATGATGGAATGCAAAATGGTACATTATAGTAGCTCAGTACCACTTCTTCATTTTAATGGAAATTAGAAGTTACCCTGTGCATCAGCAAGACATTACCCTGGTACACATTTTAAAGAAAATTAAAAAATGTGTCTTTGGGATGACAGCATTCAAGTCCTTGGCTGACTCCATAAACCTAATGAGAAAATGTAGTTCATTATGAAGTAGAGGTGCCAGTTGACATTGCCTTGAAGAGCTGAAGGATATTGGTGAACCTTTGGTTGATCTACAGAAATATGACTGCTGTACCCTGTTGAAAACTGCTGGCTGCCAAACTGAAGGAATGATCAAGAAAAATGACCATATTAATAAATACTGAATAACTAATAGTATAACTGTCTTCAACCAGGTCTTTCATTACTGGGAATTTTTGCCATTCAATTGGAGCAGTTTAAAGTGAGCCCACCCAAAAATCAATATTAGTAACAACAATTAGGTGCAACTGAGGCACGTCCCCGAATGGAGGTGGGGGTGAGAATTGTAATGAGGGTGGCCCTGAAAAGTGTTGTTTTTGCATTCTTGATCTTGTTTCAGCCTGATGCACAACAGCATCAGTTATTGAGTCCTTTGATCATCATTTTCAGCCTCATGTGCAAAAGCGTTCCGGTATGTTCTTCTGGAAAGCCGATGGCTACATTGATCTTTGGGCACAATGGCTCTGATTGAAGCATAATGAGAGGCATTTTGAAACCTGCGAACTGAATGTTCTAAATATGATTTGTTATCTCTTATTCACATGGCAGACCCAACGGCAGCAGCAGTTTTCCAACCTAGGCAAGTTCTTTTCTTTGGTGGCATGTCTTAGGCAAGTATGAATTGTCAAATGGAATGCATGGGCAAATACCAGAAGAGAACGCCGTAAAGCTGCAGGGATCACCAAGCTCAAATAAGTTTAGGAAAGGTTGATAAAATAAAAAAAAGCAAGCTTAATTATTACTATGGTGAATGCAATGCAAAAACTGGCAGAACAATAAAAAATTTAAATTGGGAATGGCTATAAACGACAATGAAAGCAATGCCTTAAAACTGTAGTAGTAGTAGTAGTGTGCTTTATGCAATGAAAAAGGTAACCTTACTTGAGAGAGATTGAACGTTTGGCCAAGAGAAGGTGAATGTGTAAGTAGCGTTGGACGTACAGAAGTTGGAGTGGAATTGCAGAATTAACTGGTAGCAATGAGCTTAGGACTGCATAAGACAATCAGTATGACATGGCAACATTTGATTGGATGGGTAAAGGGGCTTTGTGCAGCCAATGGGAAACTTGAACAGGTATCATGTTCTGCAGGTCATGTGTATGTGCATGCATTAGTGCGTGACACATTGTGTGTCACGGGGCCATACGTACGTGTTGCTGCATGTGCTAATTATCAAGGTCAGCAGCATCCATACACACACACATTTTGAGAATTATAGATATAAATAATATAAAGTTTTTATGAAAGATATATATCCAGGAACAGACAGTAAATAGTAAAAAGTTATAATGGACAGGAAGAAGTGGAGAGCCATTGTCGCCAACAATTTGGACTCAAAACTGGCATTGAAGAATTATCTAGCAAACAAAAAAAATTTCATTAAAATTGGATGAAAACTGTGGAAACTCATAAACGACATCCGATCACACACACACGCACACACACACACACATATTTTGAGAATTATAGATTTCAGTGAATTTGCAGTATTTTGCATTATGTTTAATATTCTTATTCATTATTTCAATCATTTTGTTTTCTTTGAGTGGGAGATACAGTAATTTTAGGTAGTGTTCAAAAGGTATCCTCCCATCACAAGCATCACATATTGTTTCTTTTTTATTTTTAATTAATGCTATTTTAGAGAAATGAGTTGACTCTTGTATTGTTTTATTTTTTTCCCCTTTTACAGTCTTCATTCAGAATAAAGCAACAAGAGATGATTTCAGTGTGGAAACTTTTAGAGCCATGCAAACCACACTTTCAAAAGTGTTTAGCAACTCTAAACTAAAATATACAGGTATGTTTCAGGATCTGATTTTTATTTACATTTTACCAAAGATTAAACTGAAAGGTACATCAACCACATTTCTATGAAGAAATTGATTATTTTTGCAGATTCCTTTGAATGTTTTTGAATTCTAGACCATCTTACAAGAAGTGACCCATAAACTATATTGTAAAATCATATTTATTACAATACTCCTTTTTATTTATTTATTTTTCAATCATTTCACTCCAAACAAGGCAATAAAGCTGCTAAGACACAAGGGGTTACTGAATGTAAGAGAATGAGAAAAAAACATTGAGAAAGAACAGTAAAAGACCGAGGATAACAATTGACATATAATTTAAATTTTTGAAGACCAAAGCTGACCGGAAATTCAAAATCTGGAATAGAGATCCACAAGTGAAAAGTGTGAGAAGAGAAACTGTTAGCATAAAACTTAAGGTTAGTCATTTCAAATGTAAAATGATGAGACCTTGCCACCAATCTAGTACTGAAAGTCTAGGTACCATAGAGGAAAGTTCATCAGAACAATTACCATGAAAGCATTTATAGAAAAGATGCGAGGAAGCTACATTATGGCAATGGGAAATTTTAAAAAAATGTCTGCCTTTTGCATTGCAATTGCTGTAGTCAAGTATCAAATCTATTCTTTCTGCTATTTGTCGTTTCTTATCACCCTTAGCATGCAGTCAAAATTTAATCCTACAAATGAATGTATTCATTTATTTTCCTAATTGTTATTTCTAAATTAATATTTAATGTTTTTCTGACCTATTAGATTAACAGCATGTCATGTAGAATAATTCTTCTTCATAACTCTTGGTGTGGAGGGCAGTGTGTTGGAAGGGGGATACTTAGGCATGCCTATCTCTTTTTCAAAAGACAGCATATATTGCTTTACATGGTATTAGTGAAAATCCTTGAGGGATTCCCTTTACAAGGTAAAAAGGCCTTAACTACCATGCTATTTGGAAAGGTGGTAAAAAGGGGTTAATACTGATAAATAGATGGATATGTGTACAGATAGCAGTAAAAGAAAGAAAATGATATTCAACGACAACTCGGATTTTGTTATTCTTTTGAAATATTTGGGTTAAGGGAGGTGGTGAGTGTAAATACGCAAATTGTTTTGATGATATTAATGAACCAAAATTTAATAATAAAGTGAAATTAATTTATACAATAAAAAAAATAGACTGCCATATGAAAAGAGGTAGTAAACATTTAAAATAAACTAATTTTGATTTCACAAAATCTTTTTATATCATCAAATGAAAATTTCAAAATTATCAATGGAATTCAACATTGGAAGAATTGGGTTGATAGCATAAATGAAATGATTGTGAAATATTTAGCTTAACAATAAACAAATGACTTAGGAAAATGATATATGTAGACTTATCATGACTGTCAAAAATTGATTAGTTAAAATATCAAAGATACTTGCAAACCCTCTTCGAAATAGGAGAGACATTGAACTTAGTATATGAAAACCAATGGGTTACTGTCTTAAGAGTTGTTAGATACATATAGATCTTGAATGTGTGAACATTGGCTAATTGCTTTGTGTGTGTGTCTATGTAAGGTCTGTATATGTATGTATGTATACACATGCATAAAAATAACCCATTAACACTGCTGTTTCACACTTAGCATGTTTTCAAAATTGGTGTCTGTTTATTAGACATCTATTCTTTTCCATGCATGTCATTAATAAACACCATTTTTAGAAAATTACTAAGCAAATAATACCACTGTTAATGGGTAAATAAATAAATAAATGTTATTTTTAGGCTTATTTTAAAAGTATTTAAAATAGAGAACTAAGAAAAAGCAATATACAAATAATATATATACATGCATATGTAACTATTGATGTCTCCTGTCCCCAGAGATTATAGGAGACTAAAGTAAATATTTGACATACATATTATTGTTGCTATGATGTCATTTTGTTTTGGTCTGCTAAGGAAGGTTACTCGCACAACCAACAATTTATATGGTTGAACCATATAAATACCCTCCACTCTGCCCCACTTTTCATAACCCCAGATTTTCACTCATGGCAGATATCTTAATGTATATAATTGTTTTTGGAGGTGCAAGATTTACCCATAACTGGTTGGGCAGGTGGTTGTGGGGTGGGTAAAATAGATTCGTGCCTTAGGATAAGGATGAATGCAAGCTTTTCTAGCCGGGGTTTAAACTTAGTTTGTCAATTCTATTTTCTCTCTTGCTAACTACGAGACTGTCTGCTGCACTTCCACTAAATTAAAATTCCCAGCAGAGTTTAATTAATATTCAGTAAACACACTTTTCTTCCTGATGACATGTAAAATTCTGCCAGTCTCTGCTCAATAATGTGACACCTTTTAATTGCAAAGGGCAAAGGTATTTTCATGTTGTTATTCTCTTCATCTTTCTCTTAAGAGAATGTAAATCTTCATGACTTTTATTTTACATTTGAAAAATTACTTTTAGAATTTGATGTAGATATAATTTTTTCCTAAAAGTTTACCACATTAAAAACAGTGTGTAGAAAACAAATCCAGTTATTTTGTTAACAACTTATAATTTTGAAATTAGAAAAAAAACATGTTGCCTACCAGAGGTCAATTATGAAATCTGATTCCAAATGCCAACTTTAAAATAGCCAACTTAGACAATAAAAAGGTTTTATGAGTTGATTTATGGAATCGACTGAAGTCTTAACATTGTTTCCACCTGAAAGTATTCCTGTGAATAAACATGTTTGTGCCGGCAGATGAAAATGTATTAGAAAATATCGGCACAAGATAGCTCATTTGGCATCATAATAAAACATGCCATAAGTTATCATGTGGTCAACAGTCAATGTCTTAAGCTTTAAATAGGCAAAAAAATTTATTTTTGCCAAAGTCAAAATTCAGTTTATTTTCATAACAGATAAAAAAATGTCTGTACATATATGAAAAAGAAAACATTTCTTTTTGTAAAAGTCGTGATACTTTTTTTTTTTTTTTTTTTTTTTTTTTCCAGTGCACATTCTTTTACATTTTATGTGGCTGTAAGCTAAGTATCAATATTAAAATTTCCTGATGTCACTGTTTGTTGCATCTTATAATATTTTTCTCTTATTTTTGTTTATTTAGGTTCAGTAACTTTGGCAAATGGGGACCTACTGCCAGGATTGAACCCTCGCACAGTTCCCTCAAATATCAATTTGTACCTGTTGCCCTACATGGATAATCAAAAAACAGAAGGAGGTGGGTTTGTGTTTTACTGAAGTCACATGATAAACATCATCAAGTAACTAATTTACAAATATAATTTTTATAATGAATTAAATCTTCAGTCAGTCCCCTTTTTTTTTTCCTTTTTTTTTTTCTTATGGATAAATATATGGTGGTCATGAATTTTACTCTTTGTAAGTAGTTCTTTTTAAAAAGAAAAATTGAATAAAAGAAAAAAAAAAATGGACACACTCTACTTTTACTCAGTTGTCCCTCCTAAGTTATTTATTCCTTTTTGTAATTCATTATTATATATATATATATATATATATATATATATATATATATATATATATATATATATAATTTATTTCTTAAGTTTTTTAAATAGCAGAAAAATTAAATTTGTAAGATTTTATTTTTTTTGCAGATTCTATCTTGACTTTCCTGCCAGAATATCGTGGTTATCCAAGTTTTTCTCGATTGCTTCAATCTCTTCGTAACCAGGTATTTGCCAGCCAACGTTGTTTGCTTACACACACAATCTTGTCAGAAAAGAACTGGTAAGAAATTTTCTTCATTCAGAAGAACAAAAAAAATGTCAAGCAAAGTTTCTTCATTTATTTTACTTTTCTGTCAAATCTTGTCTTTTTCTTTCTTCTAAATGTCCGATTGCTTGTAGCACACAACAAAGGTATAAATTTACGGAAAAGGACAAATTATAAAAAAATATGCAAACACAAAGTAGGGCATAGTACCAGTATTTGACAGAGAAAATAAAAAAACTCTGTCCTTTTAATGTTAACAACTCTTAACAGAAAATCCATAAATTTTGATGAGTGGGCTATTTCCAAGCCACTCATTACACTTGAGTTGTATGACGCAAAGACTTGTGCTAGCTTTTTCTGCTTTAATTACTTGCTGCTAATTAAAGTTGGTCACTTTGGCAATTTATGTTTTGGTATCGGTTTCTGGTTTTTATTCCTTGATACCATGGTTTTCAATTCGGTTTTTCAGTTTTTAATTTAGTATTTTTGCTTTCTAATGAGGCCATTCATTTTGTCTAATGATGGCATTTCCAGTCTATATCTGATTTCGTTTCAGATTGATAAATTTGCAACTTAGTCCATTCAACTTGTAAATTCTCATCTATTTCTGGTCCAATCTTAAAAATATTCATATGGCTAGAAAGAAAATAAAATAATCTTTCTAAATAAGTAATTTTCATGTGCTTTTATTTATTGAATTATTTTTTTTTTTTTACAGCGAGCTAAAACGGTATTCTGCTTTGAGCATTCAAAAATGCGAAATATGATTTTTTTGAGACTAAATTTTTACGTTACTTTGTTTTGCAAAGTCAAACTGACCAATCATTATCAATATTCTTGAAATTGTACACACACTCAATTAGAAGACACCTTAAACTCCAACCAGGAAGGTGTTCATTTCTTCTCTGACCTGTGTAAGCAAATTTATTCAAAAATTATAAAGTAAGCAACAAAAAAAAAAAAGGATTAACTGATAGTATGTGTGGTAAAAAAACTTTCAAATTATTGAAACTACTGTCTTGTCACGTAAAATAAACTCCCCATATACTTTTCAACTTTCGAGTGTGGTTTTTCGAAACGTCTGTCATTCTGGAAGTCTTTTAACTGGTGCATAAGGGGTCAATATTTGTTTTTAAGCAAGGGTAATAAAAATTTATGGATATGCGTTAAAGACCACTGGAATTGAAAACCCGAAAACTGTGAATTGGGGGGGGGGGTAATAAAGTAGGAATTGTTCACCTAAAGTCAGTTTTTTTTTTTTTTTTTTTTTTAGGCTTTAAGGTAATTTAGTCATAGAATTCATGACTTAGATTAATGTTTATTAAACTTTTGAATTAATTGTCAACTTTAATAAATAACTACCATATTTATTAATAAATTGGTAAAATACAAAGAGATAGTCGCATAAAATATTTACATTTGTGTCTTTGGACATTATATTTTTGAAAGAGAAAAAGAATGATATAGCTCTTCAGAAATTTGTTTATGATGTTGCTTTTAAAAGGCCAAAAAATCAAACCCCTCATGTTTAAAATAATTAAAATATGGCATTTCTTTTCTGGTACACCAGTCAACTGTTATTGGGGTTTTACAAATAAATTACTTCTAAACAAGGAAAAAAAAATCAATTAGTTATTTTTTTCCCCTGAATAAATTTGTTTTTATCTAGTGAATACACCTAAAATTAAATATTAAAAATAATTAAAAGCTTTTAATTTGATTTTTAGAATGTGTATATTTCCAAATCTGTGGGTATCACCTGTTCTTTTTTAGATACACATTTTAAAACTGAAATTAAAAACTATTTTAATCATTTTAATATATAATCTTAAGTGTATGTATTCACTAGATAAAACCATAAAGATATTTGTAAAAATAAAATGAATTAATTTTCCTTGTTAAGAAGAAATTGATATGCAGAACATCCACTGAAAACTAGTGGCTAAAAAAGAATAATTTTTACCTTGGGTTTAAAAAAATGACTTGCAGTTTTGAAAATATACACATTTAAAAACTTAATTTATTTTTTTTTTAAATATCTAATTTTAGGTGTATTTGCTAGAGAAACAAAATTGTATTTGTAGAAAACAGACAATTTTACACTAGCAACTCACATATCTGGAAATATACACATTTTAAAAGTGAAATTAAGAACTATTTTAATTATTCTTAATATCTAATTTAGGGGCATTCCCTAGATAAAAAAAAAAAACAAATTTATTCATAAAAAAGATCTTCATTCATTTTTCTTGTTTAGTTTACAGCAACTTTATTTCATGATTAGCGTACAGACATTGGCTTACTAGAATACAATTACATATGACCCTTACAGAAAATCTGACTTCATAAAATTTAACATTAAGACAAAACTTGCAACTTTTTTTTTATTTTTATTTGCTATTTTGTTAACTTAATTTTAACGCAAAAAGTTTTTTATAAACTGAAACAAATAAATTTCAGACATCATGTCATATGTCCTTAGTTTTATTTTTGTCTTTTCTTTTGTCAACAAATAGATTTTACATTTATTTCCTAAAACTAGTCATTTAAATGTTTTTAACATATTTTTGTTCAATCTTTTTCTCTTACAATGCTATAAATGTTGATAAAATGTAATTTTATTAACATCTGAAAGTCTTTTTCAATACTGTTTCTTTGGATATGGTCACTCAGTCGGGATAGCACTTTAAAAAAAAAAACGAACGATTTTGGTTTCGTAAACATTTCAATGCAGTTTCACAGTGTGAAGATGAAACTGAAAAAAGTCAGTTTTTCGGTTAAACCACCCATCTCTACTGCTAATGTAACTATTACTGGTAGCCTTGTTCTAAATAAAAATTATAACTCCTTGGAATAATAAGAAAAACATAAAGGAAAACTTAATTCTTTAAAAGTTTTTCATCTGTCTCGCTTTAGTTTTGAGTATTGTGGTTGTGAAAGCATCTATTTTTTATTGGACCTTTTAATCTATGTTGAAGACTCAGGAGAGTTCTGTAAGATTTTATTTATTTTTTTCTTTGGTTTAGACCATTCTTTTCATTACTGAGTTTCAGCATAAATGCCTTCTAAAGAAGCACTTTCAGATTTTGCAAACCATTATTGATGAATTTTGTGGCTTAATAAGGATGTGCCTATAGGTGTGTGTGTGAGTGTGTATATATTCTGTGAGGTTTCTTTTTTTTTTTCTTTTTTTTTTTTTTCCTTTTTAAGATTTTCAAGTGACATGTCATGTGAGATCATTTCCAGTTTTGTCTTCATGCATTCATTTTTTTTAGTTGTAAAATATATTTTGTATGGCTAAAATTTTATTGGTGCCAGGTTGTTTTTTTTTATCTTCAGGCTGCTAATATTTATAGTTTTGACATTTAATTGAGCTGTTAACAGATAAATGGCAAGTTAATTGGCACAATAATGTGACTGTGTAACCAGTGCGTGTGTATGCTGCTCTAACTCTAATAAAAATTCATATATATATATATATATATATATATATATGCATGCCAACATGAAGAAATGACCCTGCAATAAGAGTGTTAAAAGGATGTTTTTTCCTGACACTGCTTTTTTTAGCTACTTTTACTCTTTTGTACTATTTATTGCTTTAAAATATGATAATTAGAATTGTTATAAAGCCTAAATATATGAAAGTGAATTTATACATTTTTGTTCTTGAGAACTAACAATAAAATAATAAACACTATTTATTAGATTGTTTATTTACACTATTTATTTATTGTATAATTTATTGGAATGATTGGCAAAACATTGGCTAATTGCCAATTAATTCAAACTTTATAAAATGCTAAATAATAATGATTCCATTATAGGTGGTCCACATTTTAATAATTTAGTAAATGTTTACAAATAAAAAATTGTTTTCACATTTATTTCTTTATATTGCATTGTATTAATTCTGATTGTATTAGTTTTTAGAATGTTGTAAATTATAAAATTATTCCTGTAAATAAACAATCTAATAAATAGTGTTTTAATATTTTGTTGTCAAGGACAAAAAAAATGTATAAATTCACTTTCATATATTTAAATTTTATTACAATTATAATCATCACTTTTTAAAACTAAACATTGCTGAAGAGTGAAGATAGTTTTTTTTTCCATGACACTGCTATTACTTTAACTGTCTTAATGCAGGCATGAATGGTCAATGTTTGCACCCCCCCCCACACACACACCAACAGTATGACTATTAATTTAAACTTAATAGCTGTTATTTTTCTTTTTAACACTATAGGGTATATTTGTATATGAACATTTATTTATATTTAGCCATTTGAGTGTATGTGTGTGTGTGTGTGTATATATATATATATATATATATATATATATATATATATATATATATATATATATATATTGGAGGGTTGATTCTTGAATCTTCTGAAATATAAATAATAGTAAAGCAACTGTCTAAATCTTCAGGTAAAAATCGCTGTTCTTTCTATAGAATCCAACTTCAAGTAACAGTAAAATTTTGCAGAATTATGTACAAATTTTTTAATTAGTTGCCATTGGTAAATATTTTCTTTTAAATCAATTTTCATTCTTTACTTAAATTGTTTTAGGTTCCACTATGCAGCCAGAACTTGGGATGCTGTGAAGAAATCTCCGTTGATGTCAGAGTACAATAGACTTCTTCCTTGAGCTGCAACATTGGTTATCCGCAGAATATGCTGGACACTTACTACATCCATGCCCAATAGCCACCACCTAATAGTGTTCATGATGATGATGATGATAATAAGAACTGAGAGATGCAGCAGCTCTGTTCACTGGCTGAACAGGTTTGGTGGTTTGTTTAATGGCTATTGACTAACTAGGTGAGGATGTGTCTGTCCCACCTGTTGTGAAGAAGGTTAGGTGTACATGCTCCTAAGACCGACTAGAGGGTCACTCAAGGACCTGCAGCAGCGCAGGGGACGGGGACAGTGGAAGAGTAGAGCGAGACACTCTTGACATGTAGATGGTGCATCTTCCATTTTCCTCATCTATTTCTCTTGCAGCCTTCTCTTTAGTTGTAATGGAGGGAGTAGTTTAATAAAATTTCTGGTTTAAATAATTCTTACCCACTTTAATTTCTCCTTTTTCCATTATCAAATATATTGTTACTTTTGATTAGATCTCTCTTTCCTACAGTACAAGAAGAAATTCTCTCATTAAGAATGTTATCACAAAACAAAAAACACAAAAAAATTTTCCCATAGAAAAGAATCTGAAATAAGTCATAGAAAATACTTGAGATGTAATCAAAATATTAAGATATTAATTTATTAAAGACATTCTACCTAAACTTGTTTGAAACCTCATTTGTCCTTTGAAAGAAGAGAAAACTTTTGCAGCATTTTTTTTTCACCTTCAGTTTTCAAATTTTTTGCAATTTTATTTTCTTTCAAATTCAATTATTACTGTAAGTTATTTCCTAATTGGAAATTCATGGGATGTGGTACTTTAAAATATTGAGTGTTGAATTTTGACTGTAGATGACTAATTACTGTATTAGTTTTGGTTAGTAAATTTTAATAAAGAAATAAAGCTTGTCATAAAATATTTTACTTATAATGTAAGAGTTTTACTTTTTAAAGCACCAATTCTTACTAAATTGCTCACATGCTTTTATGACTACACTTCATTTAACAGATATTTCACCAGATTATCACAATGTATAATTGACATGATTATATGCTGGAAATAGATTTTTAAAATAATTTTATTCATTTCAATAATAATAATAAGATTAGTATGTTTTGAAATAATCATTTATTTTTTATTCTTTTAAAACTAGTCATTAAGCAGCAACTATGGAAATGTAATTGTTTTTTTTATATTCTAACGATTTTACTTCTTGTGTCATTCTAAACAGAATATGAACAAAAGTAGGCAGATCTTTGTCTCTTCTCACATAAGGATGATTTTTGTTTAAACTGATGATCACTTAGAAAAAAAGGAAACAATAGTGGTAAAGATGTTTTAAATCTTGAGCAGTTTTAAATGTTTTATTTTTCAACAAATAGAGAAAACAAAATTAGATTCTCTGAATGTGTAGCACTTAAATCACATTGTGGATACCAGTGTAAGGAATCCAGAAGCATTCTATCAAAATTTTACTAAATGACATGAAAATGGTGTTTATTTGCACATGTCTTATGAGTGTATTTGGCCTGGACACATCTGTGGGCTATTCAAACAGCTCTCCTCTTTGATGTTATGTTGGTGCATATATAGGGAAAAATATCATATGGAACTGAAACAAATAAAGGAAAAATACATAATACTAAAAGTTGTATTTTCTGATTATATCTAGTGAAGTGAATTGAAACATTTGAATAAAATTTTTATAAACGCTGTTTAAGCGGTTCAAATGGCAATTTAAAGCTGGTAAACTTGATCAGAAAATGAAAAGAAAATTCAGTCACGTCTTGTAGTGTAATAAAATTGTATTACCTTGCTTCTTTTAAATCCATTTGATGTTAAGAATTTCCAGTTTTGCAAAAACAAGCATTATACTCCTCCTTCAATTGTCATTTGTTTGTTTGTTTTTTTTTTTGTTTTTTTTTTTGTTTTTTTATTTAAAATCCAAAAACAATTCTTTGTTCAGTCTCTCTCTTTGGGCTAAAATAGAAATAAAAAATGTAAAGCTACTTTTATATTGTTAATGAAAAATATTTTGTCTGTTAACCCTAAAGCAAGTCTGAATTTATTGATTGGATATCTCTTCCCACCCCACTCCCAAGTAGAAATATGGAATTTACTTTTTTTTTTTTTTTTTTTTTTTTTTTACCTGAAGCTACATAATCTTGAAAGATTAGTGCATAGTTATCTTGAATATAAATTTTCATATTTATAAGTTAGAAAATCCCAAACTATGTAATGAAAATTCTTTGAATTTGCTTAAGTGTTTTATGCTTTTGATCTCTTGAGTGTTTATGTTGGTGTTTCTGTTGAAAATATTGTGTAAGATTTTACATTGTCATGAGTTTTGGTTCAGTGGCAACTTCAGATGAAATTAAATTTCTTCTAAAACACCTCAGTGGCATTGTTAATCATTTTCCCTGTTTCTACATTTTATTTTTGCTTTTTGTAATCATGGAAAATCAGTTTGTATTTAGATATCATTATATATATATATATATATAAATAAAATATGCATCCAAAATGATTGCATGTGGATTCTTGTTTTTTTTTCTTTGCACCTTTCAACTGTATTTTTTCTCTTTAAATCTTCTGTTGAGACAGAAAAAGCTATCAAAAGGTAACTTTTTATACTAATTTAAACTTATATAAATTACATCCTCTTTTTTTATATATTTATATATATATATATATATATATATATGGTTTGGGGGGCACCTTGAGGTGGTGTAATGGTTAGCAAGTTTGTCTCGCTAGAACAACTACGACTTAGTGAGTTTGATCCTCACTGGGTGCCCCATGTTTTCGGCCTTGTGCCACATCTAAGCTACACTTGGAAAATAACTATATAGATGACATGAAGAACATATTTACTCATGCTGATAAAACCTTTTGGGATGGGAATTTTTGAAACAGTTTAAGTATTCTCTCAGAAAGAATTCCTTCTCTGTATTTGTTGGTAATATTTAATTCTTGGCAAATATGTGTATCATTTTTATTCTTTTTTAATAATCTTATGCTACCATTATTTGGATTTATATAAGGTTTTGAAAATTAATTTACTATTGAAGAAAACTGACCTAAAATTGAATATAATAATAAAAAAAAAAAAAAAGTTAATTTTGCTGGTACTATACCATTTTCACACATGCACATGTGTTAAAATTAAGGTCTAAGACAAACTTTGACAGTTTTCTTTTTGGTTGGAAGTCCAAATTAATTTAATTTATAGAAAGCAGGTTTTGTTTTCAAATCCAAGTCTCTTATCATTTTTGCTTATTATAATAATAAATGATCATGTGATTAGTATTAAATATACTACTTTTTTTTATTTTATCTTTATTATGATGCCTTGATGAATAAAACATGGATTTGGTACAATTGAACATAGCATTTGTAAGGTATTTTAGGACATTACAAATCTAACACTTTTGCCCCGGCACCTCAACCTCTGGCATCTTACTCTCGGTGTTGAGGTATCTACTCGGTCCTAACTGAACTTAAGGGAGTGGCCATAGGTCCCATGAGCATCTGTAGCTTAGTTATAGTGGCGTTTCTCCTCCCACTGCTCGCCCGGGCCAATTCTCTCTTCAAGAATTTTCTCCCGTCTGTCTTTTTCAGCATAACTATGTGTTTATATAGATAAACCCGGTTGGTTATAACTGACCCTCGGCCATACTACTTCACACGCGATTATCATGGGGTTCTGGCTGCTTCAACCAAAATCATGTGAATTCTAAAGTTCCTTCTAGTTTACTCAACTTTATTTCAATTTTTAATCGATAAAAATTATTTCAACTATTTCCATTGTCTGCTGATGACCCACATTCAATGGGTACAACTTCTGCCTGAGATCAGATTTCCCTATCAGTAAACAAAATTCTCTGACTTAATTTCGCTATTCAAATCTACTGATTTCACTAAAAAAAAAATATACGTGTGTATTTCCCAGACTCTCTCTCTCTCTCTCTGTCACATTTCCTCCCCTACCCATCTGTCATTTACTAGTAACTGACACAAGGTTTTTATATCAACAAAATACAAGAAAACCCAGTCCAACATGCTTCTTACTAGGGGGCTACTTAAACATAAGTCTCTTCCTGCATGCAAAGGTAGAGTCCTCAGTTCTTCTTAGGGCTCATTATGCCCATTTACATTTTCATTGTCCTTATGATACATATGTACATGCAACTTCCGGTTAAAGTTCACTGTTTTGGTGATCTCGTGCAATAGAACCTTTTCACATAGTTCACTAGTTCGAGGGTTCTTTCCTTTTTTTTTTAAGTTTGCAACACTCCTTACCAATTATTTCAGTCTCATTACGAAAAAAAAAAAAAATTGATTTATTTCGTAAATCTGTCTCTCCGATTTTGTCTCGCCTTCACAACAGGCTTTGTCGAATCTTTTGTTGGTTCAGGTCCTTCCACGACAATCGTGGACTCTTCTTCAATATCAGTTAGGGGTCCCAATGCACTTGGGTCGGACCTACCTTGGTAAAGTGCACTAATTGGAATCCCTCCTTCACTCATGCACTCCCGTGCCAGTTTATTCTGCCCAGTCGACAACACTGCACACCTCTTCAACCACAACCAAACCAGCAAGGCTACAACTATCATTAGTATAATTTCCACAACAGTCAGCCAGGTTATTATAGCAACCAAATTCTCACTCCAGCCCGAATTCAGTGTACCTATCCTATCTAACTTCAACTTTAACCGTCCAAACTCAATCTTATTGGCTTTAACAACGCTGGCATCTTTTCTAGCGACATCTTAGGAATCTCTTACAATGGGTTCCCACAATCCCATCCATCCATTGGTATTTGCTCCTACCAGCTCTAACAAAGCCTCATTCTCTTCAAACTTCTCTTCTGCTTGGTAGTGGGGGGGAGGTAAACAGATAGATGGACCATGAGTTCCACAACCAATGGGTAGCTCGACAAAAAACAAAGGGGGAATAACTCTTATCAAGTAGTGGTGGGATTCCCTTCAAACACCTTAGATAATTCAATCTCATGTGTGGCCACCACCCAAATTCCGTCAGAGACACTAGTTGCTTTAGGTAACATTACACTAGCCAACACCTCTATCTCTAATTCCCTTCTTATTTTTCTTAAATAAATCTAGATTATAACTACCTGTCACGTAAATTGGACTTACAGACCCACAGATGCCAAAGGCATCATTCTTGCATTTTTCTGCTTCTCCCTTTGTTAATAGCATAAACTCTGTCCTGGCTAGGTTTAGGGCAACAAATTCCATCTCTACCTTGTACCTAGCCACCGCTCCTATCTTTGGCCTTAGTTTTGGATAGGGAAGGGGAAGATTCATCACCTGATAAATTTCAAAGGTACTATCTCTGTCCAGTAATGGAACCGACACTAGCTTTAGCAATTTATCATCTTCCAACAAAGTAGTACATCCCAAGGCACTATAGTACCTCCATAACTGCTGGGTGGGGCCTATAGGTAATCTAAGATGATGGGGTAGTTTGGCTTGTATCTACAGTAGTACTTCCCTTAATTGTTCTGGGGTTATTATACTCGGAGACAGGTGTCCCAGTGACAGCATGTCTAATTGTGCTCCCACACCATTAAAGAGTGACTTGTTTGACGTACCTTACTCATTATAGCTGATCCATTGCTTGTTGTCTCTGTTCTACCACCTTTAATTTCCTCTTAATTATTCTCACTTCGCCTTCGGAGACTGTACCAAACAACAAGCTTAATGCCTTTCCCATTATAGGATATACTGCCCTCTTTTGCCTGGTCCATAACAATTTTATTCCTTTCAAATAGCAACTCATATCCTTCCATTGTCTCTCAAGTATTAGGGATTCCTGAGCTAAGGGGTATAATATAAGGTGGTATTCTGGAGTCTGTAAATATTCTCCAGCGACTTGTATCTAATTTGTCCACTTTGGTCTTTAACTGACTCAGTAACTTCTCATACCACTTTGATCTAGTTATAATTACTAGTCTTCTTAAATACAGTATTCTCACTGTGTTCCCAGGTATTAGCTACCACAACTAGAATCGTCAGTACCACAAGCCTCCTCTTGTCCATGTCTGCAAGGAGATGGAGAGAATAATTCGTCTTAGTCAATCATTCTCTTATTGTTTTTATCGGGTGGTTACATCTTAGAGCATTACCTCAAGCACCGACCCATACCACCACCAGGCCTTTGCATGCATGGGGCCCATCCTCACAATTCACCAGCATTGATGATAAATGCACAGTTAGCCTCGGACCATCACTCATTCACCACAGCCACTGTACTGGTTTCACTTAATCCTTGGGCTCAGGCTACACCCTCCCCCCCATTGCAGTTTTAGTGATAATTCCTCATTAACACTAGGTACTTTTTCAGCCCGCAATTTACTCTGCAATTGAACTAACAAGATTTCATCCTCTTCTTCCCATTCACTCAGTTCTTCTTCTTCCCTAAGGTTAGGCTCAATCCCTGCTTCCTCAGAATGTCCTGCTGGGGTCCAATTTACCTCCCTCAGCCTTCGAAGGGTAGTTGGGCTAATTTCAATCTCCTCACTCCCTTCACTTTCGCTCTCAGTCTCTAACCCTTCGGGTTCTACCAACGTAGATTTCCTCAGTCTATTCTGTTAAGTTTCTGTTTCAGCTCCTTTCCATTCTTCTATTTCAGCTAGCTTTATGTCATTCGCATGCACACTCTTTACCTGTCTGTTCAATTGGTCCCAGATCACAAAGAAAACCGGACCCGGCTGCTCCACAATCCTATAGTATGGACTCCATCTCTGGTCCAATTTACCTTCTCTCAGGTGTATTTTATAATACACTGGATCACCTTTTTCTATTTTTCTCTATTTTTATTTACCCTATCATTTCGCCTTTTCTGGGCTCTTTGAATCATCCTCCTCACCTGCATAAAAATTTTATACTGTTGTTCTAAAACTATTTGGTGATATTCTTCTAAATACTTCCTCCTAGGTCATAAAAGATTGTCTATAAGTAAGACTACATCCCTGCCATATATCAAGTAATAAGGGGAAAATTGTGTCATCTCGTTCATCAAGAATCTCACAGCTGCTAACGCTTGGGTTAGGAATAAATCCCAATTTTCTTTATTATCCTCTGTTAGTTTAGCTAACACATCAGTGAGGGTCTTATGACATCTTTCTACCTTAGCGTTACTTTGGAGGTGATATAGAGAGGTGGTTATGTGCTGTATGTTTAATTCTCCTAACGTCTCTCTCATAATCTGATTCGCATTCTCCGATCCATTATCGGTAACCAACTGTTCGGGGGCCCCATACGTAGGGAATATTTCATTCATCTGACACCATTCGTGCCTTCTTATCTGGTATGACAAATGCCTCAGGCCAATTCTAGATACACCATGGCAAATGTCTCAGTGCCATTCAATACAATGGACATTAACTGACTAAATACGCCCGGAGCGTTTGCTAACCCAAATGGCATAACTCTAATATTGAAAAGACCCATGTGGCAGGTAAAAGCAGTCTTTTCCTGATCCTTTTTGCTAAGTGCTACCTGCCAATATCCCGACCTCAAGTCCAAGGTGGAAAAACATTTAGACTCTCCTAAAAGAGCTAGAATATCATCAATCAAGGGGAGGAGCACTGCCAGCGGTTTTGTAATGGCATTTAATTGACAAAAATCCACACAAAACCTATGCCCTCCATCCTTCTTTTCAACAATCACTATTGGAAAACTCCAGGGAGATTTGGATCTTTTGATTATCCCTGATTTTATCATTTCATTCACTGCATCCTCTACTAATTTTCTTTTGTGGATTGGGGTCCTATATGGTCTTAACTTGATAGGTCGGTGATTACCAGTGTCTATCTTCATTTCAACTGTCTCCATCTGCCCCAGTTCCTTATCCGTAATAGCTATTACCTCCTGATTGCCATTCAGCAACCCCCTCAATTTCCTCCTATAATGCTCAGGAGCTGTTATATCTTCATCCCTTATTTCATCGCTACCAGTCTTATTCTCAGGCCTATTCTCATTCCATACTCTCACCTGTTTGACTTCTCTCACTGGGCCAGCTCCTCTCCCTGCTTCATTTTAATAGTTTTATTGGCAGTATTAGTTAACAGTAAGGGAACGGTCCCTGACCTTTTCACCAACGAATCACACCTTTCACTATCATCATACCTATCAGTAGGGACCACTTGGTACAGGTCACTATTCAGCACCCCTTCTGTTATAATCTTGCCCTCCCCAGATACAGTAGTCCTAGGGGGAAGCTTTATATCCGTCTGGGCCACCACTGGCAATTGTTCATAATTATCCTCTCCCAACAGTATTCCTACCCTGTCCAATGTTAGGGTGGCAGGGTCAAAATGGATCTATGCTTTATTCTGCCTAAGCCAGTCACTCCCCAAAATTAGCTCACCACCCAAGTCAGGTGCCACATAAACCTTAAGTTTACCTCTGGTTCTTGCCAACTGGAAAGATAGCCACGTCATACCCTCTATCCTCATCCTGCTACTATCAGCCTGACTTATTAGTAGATCGACAGGATTAAGCTTCGTTTTCAATCCCAACTGTCTAAAAAACTTAAACTAACCAGTGACAGTGAAGCTCCAGTATTGACAAGGGCCTTCACCTTCTTGTCTCCAAACAACACATTACAGGTAAAGTCTGGCCCTTCCTTCAGCAAACAGTATGAGACGTAGGAGTCTGTGACAGGAGTTCACCTTTTTCTAGGGGCCCTCCTGAGTGGGGTAGAGCTCGGATAACCCTCTTTTCTCGGACTAGCAACCCATTTTTCCCCTCCATTGGAGTTAGGGTTGTCCCATTCGGTGTGGTCCATCTTTCTCCTGAGAGGACATATTCGTCTAAGGTGACAGCGCCAACACCTTTGCTCCGCATTGTTTCCTTTATAGGTAGGTAGCTTCATGCTACCTCTCAGCCTCCTGAAACCCATCGATATTTCGGCGAATCCCATGTCTTCAAGGTCATCTGTGGCGTCTGATCCTGCTACGCTCATCCTAGCGTCTTGTCAACTACCACTTTCCCATGAGAAGAGAGACCAATGACAGAATAAAAGGAAAAATAATTAACATGGTGGTTGTGCTTCAACTGCGTACAAAGTCAAAACAAGATCAACAATATTACTGGCAGATCTAAGTGCAATGAGCAAACAATGGCAACCAAAAAGTGACTTACCTGAGGTCCGCCACTCCGTGTTTTGTTTCTTTTTCCTCCTTTTTCTTCCTTCTCTTTTCCTCCTTATGTCTCTTCCAGACAAATATTGTCTGAAGGCTAGAGTCCTTTCTGGTCTTACTCGGTCCCGACTGGACAAAACAAATGCAACCTTCTCTCCTCTTTCTGACAGCCATGGTAATTCCCATGGGTCTATCCTGGTCACAGGCACCAGTCTAACACTTTCGCCCTGGCCCCTCAACCTCCGGCATCTTACTCTCGGGGTTGAGGTATCTACTCGGTCCTAACCGAACTTAAGGGAGTGGCCATAGGTCCCATGAGCATCTGTAGATTATTTGACCAGTCTGCTGGTTTAATCCTGCTTCCTGCTCACATTGTGATTTGTTTGATCCAGAAAGCAGAAGTGATGTCCGTTCATTCACAGTTGACTGAAGATTTAGACATGGCTGGGGAGTCTGCGCTAAGAAATTTAGAATGCAGCAAAAAAAAAGTAATATCTGCAGAAAGCCGGACAAACATCGATTCAATAGTTGAATTGTTAATGTCTTTTATATAGCAGAAAAGAATTGTAGAGAAGAGAAACGGGTTACAGAAAAGAAAAGTATATGTATGACTCTTGCGATGGAAGGATAAAGATTTCTGTGCGGGGCTTAAAGTTATAGTGGCGTTCCTCCTCCCACTGCTCGCCCGGGCCAATTCTCTCTTCTCTCTTCAAGAATTTTCTCCCGTTCTGCTTTTTCTGCATAACTATGCGTTTATATAGATAAACCCAGCTGGTTATAATTGACCCTCAGCCCTACTACTTTGCATGTGATTATCATGGGGTTCTGGCTGCTTCAACCAAAATCATGTGAATTCCAAAGTTCCTTCTAACTCAGCTCTATTCCAATTTTTAATCGATAAAAATTATTTCGACCATTTCCATTGTCTACTGATGACCCAGATTCAATGGGTACAACTTCTGCCCTAGATCAGATGTCTCTATCAGTAAACAAAATGCTCTGATTTAATTTTGCTATTCAAATCTACTCCAATGTCACTAAAAAAAAATATACGTTTGTGTGTTTCCCAGACACTCTCTGTCACACAAAATCCTTTTTGATTGATACATTTAAAAAGAAAAAATTGAACTTCTTTTCTCTTCATCTGCTCTGATCATTTTATACAACTGAACATATACTTTGTCTTCCTCTGTACATAAAGGGCAGTTGTCTGTATGTGTGTGTCTGGCTAAAACTAAAAAATTACAGTAATTCATGACAAAGGAAATATAGATTTATTATCACCCAAGCCAGTTTTTTGTAAAAAAAAAAAAAAAAAATTATTGTATGATTTGTATTTACAAAGATGTTTTAAAATTAAAATGCATTTGAAATTCTCTTGAATTTATTTTCACATCTATAGTAAATAAAAGCATAATTTTAAAGAAAATAATATTAAAACAAAGTAAATTTAAAAGAATATTAAATACAATTATTTGAAAAAAAGTTTAATATATATTTATTCAAATATTTGACCACGGGTGTGTGTGTGTGTCCCCAGCTACAAAATAAATATACAGACTAATTCACCCCAAAGGGCAGTTGTTGCTGTGTGTGTATGTATTGACATTAATATTTTTCAGCCTTCTTATGGAAAATGATTTTTTTTTCAGTCTTTAAAAAATAAACTTCATTGTTTTTTTTTTTGGTTTGTGACAAATATAAAAAAGTAATCAAGTTTTATTAAAGCAAAAACTATAGTGAGCCCTTATTTTTTCAAAAATTATTTTAAATAAAATATACTTAAATTCATAAAACAAATATTCAACACAACTAATGTTGACCATAAGTCATGTCTGCCTCCTAATTTTTATTTAATTAGTTTGCTTTTCTTTTTAAATACAAATATAACTTGAAATTTAATTATAATCACTTTCCAAAATTAAATTCTCAATGTATCTTGTTTCTACTCTTTCAAAATAGTAATTAATGTTTAAAAGTAAAACTTCATTTACTTAAAAAAAATCTAAATTCCCCTCCAAAATAAATAGTAAATAATTATTTTTTGAAGGTTTGCTATAGTTTTTGTTTGAAAATAACATTAACAGAGTATTTATGTTAATATTTAAATCAAAAAATAAAGTGTCTTTTTGGATAAAAAATATGGGAATGCTCAGTCAATAGCCCCTCCCCACGAGCGTGGTATTTGTAGTGTGCTATTTTCCTAAATTTAGTTATTTTGTAATAAAGCAAAAAAAACAATGTCTATTTTTTAAAGATTGAATAAAAAATTATTTTCCATAAGTTGGCTGAAAAATATCAAATTGTCAATAATAAACTATTATTGAGAGATCTCAGCAACGCTGTGTATTCCTGCTAGTTAGAAATAAAAAACAAAAAAAAATTTGTCCATTTTATTAAAATAAAACAACAAATACTAAGAGCATTCATCATCCTTATATGAGAACAGATAAAATTCATGAAACTACATCACTTCTGTTTGTGGAAGCATTGTTAACATATGCCAGTCAAGCAAATGATAGATTGTTGAATACAAAATGTACATGTTTTATAACATTTTAATCTTGTTGACATATCAATTCTGGTCATTGTATCTTCCCATTGAACTAATAGATTAGGTTCAAGAATATATTCAGAATTCTTTAATAAAAGTCAGTGGGCAATTTTTGTCTTTACTCACAAGCATACAAAGGGGCTTCACATTAAACCTGCAGCATCATATTTGCCATGTGGTGAAGCAAACAGCATCAATTGCACAATGATCTAATGCAAGAGTGTCAGTTAGGTTGAGGTATGAGCAATGAAGATAACTTTTCTTAACATTCCTGTGCATCTTGAAGGACTTGAATGGAAAGAATCTGCAAGAGGAAACATATATGGATTTCCTGCTTTGATCGCAGGTTGTCATTGCAGAAAAATGTACATTTTTCCCCCCTTAGATTTTCCTCAAATTTCAGTCAAATGATTGCAGGTAATTGAACTTTCTGTTGTATCATTAATTTGTAAAACTGGTGAAAAATTTATATGGTTTAGTCTCAGCACTTATTGATAGTTACTGATATTCATATGTGAATATTATTTTTAAAGTCTGAAGTTCATTAGTAATGAAATATGCATAAATCCTATTATAAAAGTAGGCAGTGACTTAAGAGTTTCTTCAATTTTCCTTTAAAATTCCTTTTAATGTTTTTTGTTCAGAGCCATTTTCTCAGTTTCCAGCAATGTGTTGGCAGGGTGTTTGAATTCCAAGTTGTCTTTTTATGAGATTGGTTATCCTGAAGAACCCAATCTACTTTACCTATATCTAAAAAATATGTATACATATACACTGCATGGTTTCATTAGATAGGTTTCAACTCCACTACTCCAGGCTGATTAAATGTCAAAAAATTTTCATGAGAAATTTAACTATTTTAAAAATGTAATTAATTTTTTCCTCATTGATTTTTTTTTTTTTAAAATTCCATTAATAACAGACTTGGGGCTGTTATAAAGTCAATGTTATTTTTTAATTGGCAATTTCACAATATTTTACTTTCCACTATATTCAATGACTGGGAATACAACAAACCAAAATTTTAATAATTAGATGAATTAGACAAAACCATTCCAATGGTCAATGAATGAAAAAGTACTTTTTTTAAGCTTTTTTCTAATTGTGAATTGTAAAATTTGAACATTAAAATAAAAATGACACAACACAGAATACTAATAATACAGATTTTTTTTATTCAAATATTGGGGTGGGGGGAAACTGGGGTTTGGGGAAATAGAGAAGAATCATGTCATTCTACTCATTACAATTGTCCTGACACACATTTCTCATAAAAGACAATATTTCAAGTTAGTCCAACAAGTATTCATATGCATTCACTGAAATCACATTGAGTTGAATCTAGAACTAAGATTCAATTGAAAGCCCAAGCTTAAAAGAGGTTCCAACTGCCTTCTTTTACAGTCTTTGTCATTTTTCTAACATAATATTTCTTTTATTTAAAATAACTTTAGACAAATGTCATTGTTTCCACCAAATTTGAATGGTAAGAACCATAAAAAAAAATGCACATAAGTAACCCACTGCCCTTTTTTTTTAACTTCAGAAATTCGAAATGTAACAACAGGTGGGAAAATTTTGTTATCTTAACTGCAAATATTTATCAGGTCAATCTCTGACAAGCATTAAACCAATTTATTGGTCAGCTGTATTTTATCATTATAATCTTTATAGACTTTCTGATTCCAGTCAGACAACTTACATCTGGGAGAATAACTTCAAGTACTATAGCAATTTGATAAATCATTAGACTTCTCAAGTCTGTTTTTTATTTTCTTTAAGTTCTGCTTATAAGAAATAAACCTTCTTTATTCCATAGTAAAACAACTGCATAGTAGTTGTTTATTATATACGTGGGGAGCACAGTTATCTGTAGGTAAAGATCTGTCGTTTTAATGTGGGTAACACTTAAGGACACTCTTCATCTTTCATGCCTCTCTAAATTGATATTATTTTAATAGAACATAGCCAAAAATCTTCCTGAGCATCTCAACAGTTTAACCTTTCATTTTTGCTACTTTGTGAAATTATATTTATATGTATGAAGAAAATCAGTTTTTAAAATCATTCTGTAAGGTATTTATTGGTTACAGAAAGTGATAAGAGAAAAGAGAGATGAAAAGTTTTGTTTAGAGAGAGAGAGAAAAAAAAAGAAAGTACATAAGGAAAAAAGAAAGCCTTAAAGAAATGATTGACAAGATGTATATGGCCTCTGAATTAGTTAAAATTTAATAAGTCAGGAATGACTGGCCAGGCTTTAAGAAGTTAAAAAATTGTAACAATCCATCCTGAGGAGGAGGAGGAGGAGGAGGAGGAGAAGGTCAGCAGCAGCAGCAGAAACAAATATGGCACAATTAAAATTAATATCAATAATTGCAGTAGTAAAGGTAATAATGATAAAAATAACGAAATTGTAATTATTGGATTTGCAATAATTATCCATTAAAAACTGCAATCGATAATTTTGTTTCTTCTCATCAAAATGAGTTGATAAGTCTTTATATCAGAAACTGTTTTAAAAAGTAAATGTAACAAATGATTGGTTGATTTTTGAAAGTCTTCTTTAGTGTTAACACTACCTTCAAAAATAAAATTGATAACTTATCAATCTTTAAGAGTTTTCTCAAAAAGAGAAAAATTGTGCTGAAGAATTAGAAAATAGTATCTATTGAATAGTATTGAATCTGGTGTATTATGAACAATGATGGATCAACATGGAAACATGAATCAATGGAAACTATGAAGGCTTGACATTTAGTCAAGCAGAAACTCTCTTCTTTGCTTTTCTTATCATTGCCATAGCTGTCAATGCTGATGTTGGTTATGATGTAAGAACACATAAAATGATGTATCCCCCCCACCGAAACATACATCTGACCAGCCCTTATACCTATCTCACACACTAGCTTTCTTAGAGAGAAATGTAGCAGTTTGTGCATCCACAGGCAGACATTCAAACTAAATAGAAAATGGACAGTTCCATTTAAAGAGGATAAATCGAATGAATAGACAGCAGAGTAGCACATACTTTTGGCATAATATTTTTGGTTGATTGAGTTTTTTCCCAATGTACATGGGGAAAATATTTGGTATTCCATATCCTGGGAGTTTATCAACTTGTTTGCTGTCTCCGTTGTAATGTATCTTGTAATTCTGATAATGATAATTTTACCTATGAAAGAAATAAAAACATTGTGAATTTATACTGATAAATGAAATGTAATGTATGCAAAACTATAAATCATTTCTTATATTCAGGCATTTCAGATAAAAATTAGATGTCTAATATCAAACTAGACTCAATCAGAAATAAATGTATAAAGCTATCATCAATGAAAAATAGACAATTGTCATTCAAGCCAAGCAAGCTGAGGTAGAATTTTACTAAAAACTTCAATGAACTCACCTGGTCTACTAAAATTACTGCAGCTGAGAGGATTTCTCGCCACCGGTCTAATTCACTTTCATGCAAGACTTGTTGCTGCTTCAACAACTCAGCCCACTCCTCCTGATTTTGAGGATATTTACTGCAAACAAGAAAAAAACAAACAGCTGTTAATTTAAAACCCTTTCTTAAAGAACAATAGATAAAAGGGAAAAAAACAGCTAATTTAATTCACTGACCAAACTAAAAAGTTATTTTCTTTTTATCAAATGAAACTTTTAAAATATCAAGCCCAAAGTTTCATATCTAATGCATTAGGCAAAAAATGAGTTTTAAAAAGTTATGGTCTACTACACTACATATTCTAAAAGCATCTTCATTTGAATAAATTGATTCAAAGTACAGAGATAGAAATTAAATATTATATCATCCTTTGTTTCCCACTAAACTGTTGCTCATTTCTGGTAGACTGTGCTCAGCATAAGGCTGCAGCCACAAATAATAATGCTACTGTAGTTTCAGTAGCAAGTGAATTTTTAGAGGACAAGCATTGCTAGCCTGAGGCAAATAAAAGATTGCTTTACAGAGCTAATGAGCCCCAGCTGCCCAACTATTTACTCATAGAAGGAGATAGAAGTGGATTCATGCATTTCCCAAGGATATTAGGGCAAAGTGAATGTAATCTGTCCCAGCCTGAATTTGAATTCAGTTTACTAACTTCATCTGCTGTGCTGTTAATTGTTAGAACATTTGTACCTCCTTTTGCATCTGCCAGCTGAATTTGCTGTAAGGTGATAAGGATGGTTCTGTTAATTGATGGTTGGTAAGACTTAACAAAATATTCAACAATATTTGTTATTTAACAACATAAGAGCAAACTTAGAATTTTCATTTTAATACAGACTTGACTTCTAACAAAAAAAACAAAAAAAAACACAGTAGTACATCTGCCTCATAGCAAAATTTTTCACTAGTGTTTGAGTTCAGGTCAAAGTCAAGATTTTAAATGCTGATTTTCAAGGAATATGTTCTCCACTTGGAAGACAATCTTCTTAGTACTATTTCCACTCATACAGCCTTGTATTATACTTAGCTAAGCTTAGTAAATATATAAATTGATACAAATTTTTTTTTTACTTTGTTGCAATCAAATGCATTAGGGATGTAATTATGACTATTTCAATATAATAATTTAGAACTCATCCTCTATGCATTACACTGTAAAAAATCATGTTGTTATGGAAGAATTATATTTATGTATGTATTAATTTCATTGTAACAAAAATTAAAGTAAAATTTGTTATTTAAAAAAAAAAGAGTATGATAAAAAAAATTAATGGTAATTTTTGAAATAACAAAATATACAATTCTTACTTACTCTGTAGCTCTTAAACCATTCTGCAAATATGGTAAATAAATTGCATTGGCATAATTCTCCAGGGACCACAATTTGTAGAATAATAATGCATTGAACATGACTAGCAACAAAAGGCTAAAAAGAACAAAATATGAATAAAATGTTACTTTTTTGTAAATTTTAAAATCTTTAGTAAATATTTATAATTTTTAAGCCTGTGATATTCTAGAATGTGTTCATAAATGACAATGTCTAATCTATCACAGGGTTACTGAAAACAGCAAGAAATATGACAACATCAAGTAACACTAGTTTAAAGCAACTATATGTCACAAAAGGTCTCTCAAATTTTACAAAATTATATCAAACAATTACGGATATTAATTTCCTTTGTTTCATAGGTAATATTATGAATGAAAGCAGAATTTATCAACATTTAAGTAAAACATAACACATTCTGATGTAAATAAACATTGAAATATTTATAAAATCAACCACTCATGTCTCTTGTTTAAATGCCAAATACCTACAAGCATATTTTGGAAAGTGATTTACATTAATCTAACTATTTAATTTGTATTGTATGTGTATATATATATATATATATATATATATATATATATATATATATATAAGCTTTCTGTTAAAAATGATGGATATAAGATGAAAGTATTACGCAGATAAGAAAGTTCTCAAATATTAAAGAAGTTCAAGAAATTCTAAACGTAGAATTTTTGTGAATTTTTTTCAATTCAAGATTTATAGAGAGTAGCTCTTGGTTTTTACAATAATCAGTTTCAATCACAAAGCAAAATGTTTCTATGGGCATTTAAGAATACATCTATAATAGAACTCTAAAATAAGCTTCAATTCAACTAATGTTTGGAGAAATAAATGTAGGCTGTACAACAGCTATTGACTGTGCAATTAATTGAAGATATTGAATAAGCTTTGAAGTGGACAATGAGTTACAAAGTGCATCACACTGTGAAAATGACACCAGTTAATCAACCAAGTTTAATTGCACTCCTCCCACCATCATCATTTACTTAGTTGAATCAGCAAGGTCTCTAAACTGGGAAAATTGTATACCATATTGATTTCACTGAAGCACATGTATGCATAGCTAGACAACATTATTCTAGGTGATGGAAAATTGTGCTTGTACTTCAAAAGGTTGGAAAAAATGAAATTAGACAGGCAAAGATGCCACCTCTGAGATCCATTCCATTATAAAAAAAGTAAAGAATTGTTAGGAGTGGGACAAGGCAATATTCAATGGGAACTGATAATTTCAATCAAGGCTCTCATTGTTAGTGTGTACTGTATGTAAAATTTATGTTCTGCACAACAATGCCAAGCTGCACATTGAATAGATTAACCATGAAAAAATGTGGGCTTTGGAAACATTTACCTTACCCACTCACTCAACTTGATAGCCTCTGATTTCTATATTTTGCAGTACTTCCTGAATAATCTGAACTCCCAAAATAAATGTTGGTGACATCATCTAAATGTCAATGCAAATCTTTGATTTCAAACTGATATCATTCAATTAAAAGAAGCATCTTTTATGTCTCAACATTGGCAGAAAGAAGTAAGAATTCAGATATTGAATAATTGTTCTAAGTTTCTCTTTTGTGAAATAATAAAATTTGTTTGATTGCATCAAATATTCGGATACTTCCTTACCAACCCAATAGAACCCAATATGAAAACCTCAGACACTTTTCACCAACTGAAAAGGAGAACTTACACAAAACACATTATTCTTATCATTGTGTCAGCATTTAGCTTGATCATTTTCTCATCTTTGGATAACTGGCCTGGAAGGAAAGAAACAAAAAAAAAAAATATCACTACACATCAGGGAAGCACATTGACAAAAGTTAAAAAACTGACAAGGAAACAGAAATGGAAAGAAAAACATTGTCTCAAATATTTTGCAACATACAAATATAAGTGTCCAATATTATATATTAACAAATTTAAACAATTGTTTAAAATTTTAAATTGTATTTCAGTTTCTGGTGCATTTTTCAACAGTGAAACTTGTATGCCATTTTAAAATGACATTTTTTAGTACTATTCAGTTTAGTAATGCTATATTATTGTGAAAAGATTTAACATTTTTTATAAAATAGCCTAATAATAATGAAAAAAGTACTTATTTTATACAACAAATATTTTTGTGTATAATCTTTGTCAATGCACTTAATTCAATGATGAATATTAATCACATAAATTGAAAATTACAGAATGAAAATGACAGATGAAATTTCAGCTAGAAATGAATAAATATCTGGCTGAAAGATTTATTGAGCCACCTTTGTATGCAACTTTGGAATGATTACATATTTAAACTTGAAAGAACAACCAATTATTTAAAATGATTCTTCAACATATATTCTTTGTATAATAAGTAAAAAGAGTAAACTTACCTTTATTTTTACTTTTAGTTGGGGATGAAGGAGCAGCGGATTTGGTTTTTGATTTTGAATCCACTCCTGGTCGTTGAACTGGTGCATCAGAAGTACTTCCAATTTGTCGCCGACGTTTGCGAACTTTTTTCTTTGAAACTGGATGGCTTCCAGGATGGTTCTGTTCTAACCTGTCTGCCTCTGCACGTAATTCAGCCGCTGTGAAAATTAATATAAGTATATTTGGGTTGGAAATAATATAAAATCTATTGTTTCTGTCAGTACTATCAATAATTTCATCAAAAATATATTTACAAAGGCAAAGTAAAGAGATTTGAATACAACACAATAAGTTCTATTTTTACTGTAGATGATTTAATTTCTTAGCATTTGTTTAAAGTGGTTGTGTTATTGGGCTTTCATGAGAAAAACAAAGACTAAAGATTGCATATAAAACATTTATACAAATGTAGAAAAAAATTATTTACATTTGGACTAATGTCCTCATCTTTGTTGTTGTTATTATTTTGGTTATTGTTCCCTCCAGCCTTCAGCATCTCTTGATCTGGTTAACCTTTAGGGAATTTTGAACTGAACTTTTAGTTTAATCTGCAATGGTAGATTGTTCTCATAACAATACTTATGTCTAGGGATATTTCATCTTGTTCTTATTTAGTACTGCTCAGTTATTACTTGCTTCATTTTCACTGAGTTTAACTCTGTACTTCCCAGTTAAGAATTGAACTTACAATGGCTGTCACTAGTTTCACACCCCAATAGTTTAATCCATTGAGTTACTGTCCCATTGAACAATCTGAATCTAGAACTTGAGGCCTCAAACCTAATGCTGAAGCCTTACTGTCATTTCTCTAAATGTATTAATGGGGTGAATATGATGGAAAAGAATATAAAAGAGAAAGCATTAATCCACTAAAAGAGATTTGAGAAACATAGAAAGCTATATCTAAAGCATCTATGACAGATCTAGAGAGAGATTAGATCATACTATTGCTTTTGCAATATGAAGCCTCCTGGAAGGTGAGAAAATGAAAAGAACTGTGTATATTAATCTTTTAGATAAAATGTTATCAGGCTGATGTGAATTTCTTTGCATAGCAAGAAAGAAAAGAAATGGAAAGCAAGCCCATGTATAAAATATGAAATTGCCTGCATCACATTGTTATGGGATTTAGCTTAATGAGATGTTCAGCTCAGCATATATAATTTTTCTGTTTTACTGCACTGATGGACACTAGCTGAGGTAAAATAAGATACTCCCCACCTGTCTCTGAGAAAAGCTAAAAACAAATTGGCTGAATGTTATGGCCAACAAAACCAACAAAATGAAGGAGATCAATAATGATAATGACTTAAATCTCAAAATTACAGAACGTTATCTTTATAATCAATAACTTCTCTCTAGTAATTAACTGAAAAAGTAGAAGAGGAGTTTCTGACCAACAGGGAAAGGTGGTGGCAGAGGGGGAAGTGGTGGTGGTGGTGGTGTTGAAAACAATTGTGGCAATGTATAGATGTAAGAAAAAATAAAAACTGCCATGCATTATGTGAAGAATAAAAAATTAAACTATCAGATTTGAAAATAATTATTAAAAATAAAATAAATTAATAATAATATATTTATTCAGATAGAAATTAAGGGAAACTAATATTTTAAAGTAATTTTGCAATCTAAACTGTTTGAAAACAAACAACATCACTACAATCATAAGTTAAAGAATATTTGAAAAAAAAGAAAATCTGTATAAGACAAATATTCCATGATTAGAAATAAATCACTGAAAAGTGTTTATATACAAATGAATATATGATAAAAGTGAATATCAATCTCACACATTCAAAAGATGTTGGCAACTGTAGAAAAATGTGTACAATTAATAATGTAGTAATGCCAGTAATGCCAGTAATGCTGAGCCAAGAAAATAAGAAAAGAAAACTATTATTTGCCAAATTGTTTTCATATGCAATATTATAAAAATTCTTTGCTGTGGAATAATGAATGACTGGATTGCTACAGAGTAATGAATTTGATCTCCACTGAGTGCTGCATACAATAATTCGACATTAAATAAAAACTTGTAAAATCAATAAACCCAATCCAGATCAATTTAAATGGTAAAAATTGTTATAAATATTTTGTAGACAATAAATGTTTTCCATATATTTTAATAGTTTTGGAATTTTGTTATGAACATTTTCTTTTTACTTATTACATTAAAGAAATATCAATTGTCTATAGATTTGTTCATTTATATCCTCTTATGTAAGTACAGATCTCAATTTTCATTGTATATTTTTAATATTTAAACAAATGGCAATGCAAAGAAAATAGATGTTCCCTTATTTTTTTTGATATGATGCTATATTTTTCAACAATAAATAAATTGAATAACATGTGCCTTCTTTTAAACATTTTCACTAGATTTTTAATTGTTCTTTTACTGAATAATAATTGAACTAGAAGAATATTTTTTGTTCAAAATCATGCTGAAATGTTATACTTAATTTGTTTTTTTTTTGTATTTTGGACATTTTTAAAGACAATAAAAGATTTGAAAAATGCACATAATAATAAAATGGGTTTCAAGGTGGATGATGATCTCATGGTCAAGTGTGGGAAACAACACCATTTGTTGTTCTGTGATTGAGAACTTTCACTTTATTCAGATGTAGAACATAGATAGAAAGAACAGAGAGAGAAGGAGAGGGCAAACAAAAAATAAAGTTTCCTTATTTCAGACCTTAACCATTTATTACAGCATTCTCCATCAAGCCCGCCTCCAAAGCTGCACTGAAATGTTAAGAACAGCAGAAAAAAGGATCCTATGCACAAATGCTCAGCACAAAATACTCTTTCTTTTCAACCCAATAGTCTATTAATTTCTCTTTTTTAATTTACACACACATACACATCATTTTTAAATATCTATATGAGTTATTTTTTGTCTTTATAAGTGGAATTGCAGATGACAATATGTCAAGTGATGTTCTAGAAGAATTCAATGACAGTTATATTTCTTTACTGATATCAAACAGGCAATATTTTTCCCTAAAAATACAATAAAGAAGAAAGTAAAAAATGAATATTTTTATTATAGAAAATGTTAATAAATTTCATAAAGATTATTCTAGTATTAGTCTGATGAAAGGTATTATTCTTGGATAAAAAACAAAAGAAATTTATTTTACCTAATGCTTGAAAATATTCTGAACAGCCATGAGCTGCATTTTTCTCAATTATATCTGAAATTAAAAAAGTGGAAAGAATAAGAGGCTTATAAGTAATCATTTTAATAAAGTGTAAGACGAAGATCTAAATATAAAATTAGATGAGTCTATTTGGAATCTATAGAACTTTACATATATAACCTGTACAACAGTACTTTTTCTCATGCATTTTTGTAATAAACACGATAACAATAATTTCATTAGACTTCATTACTTTTATTAATGAACAATAAAAAAAATTATACACATTTTAAATAATTTTCACATGGTAAAACAAGAAAGGAAAAATGAGCATAAAATATTTTACATGTATATATTATTCATATTACAGTCACGACACTAATAAAACAGGACATGACTAAGAAGTACCCTGGTTATTCAACATATCTTTAATTCTTTTTATTTTTAGAAGAGAATTCAGAAAAAAATAATAGCTTTTGAACTTGCATAAAGTATCACTATGTTCTATAGCAATATCTACATAATTTATGCCAGATCCGACTGCTATAACTTTTGCTACAACTTATACTATATTACTTTATTGATTATCTTGTAGTTTTAGAAGTAGCTCTCTAAATTGTTAGCTTCTAAAAGAACAACAGCAAACAGTGTAAAAAGCATCAAAAAGACATTGTTAAAAATACATTACATACAAAAAGTTTTGGGTCACCCAGCATTTCTTTAAAAAACACTTTAAAATGAGATATTTTTGTTTTTAAAGTAAAAGATAAGATTTTAATAGCTACAATGTATTTGCTTTTATGTTTACAAAAATAAGCACTTAATTATAAAAAAATTATCATAGAGCAGTATTATATTTTGTTTTTGCCAATAAAACCATCACCTGCCTTAATTACTGTTTTATAAATTCTTGGCATTCTTTGCAACAGTTTTTGAAAAAAGTAGACGGCAGACCTTCCCAAGCATTCTTCAAAGCACGCTCTCACTCTTTGGGTATTCTCTTCAAACTCTCCAATCCAATTCATCCCATACTTATTCAATGGGAAAGAGGTTAGGAGAGGTGGCCAAGTCATAATTTCTAAAATTTTGCTCTTTTTTTGAACGAGGTAATTTTGACATAATTTAAAAGAGTGTCTTGTTGAAAGGTGAATTTTTTTCCAATTATACATAAACCAGATGGTATAGCATGGCTTTGCAAATTTGAATGATATTGTTCTTTTTTCATGATTCCCTTGACTTGAATCAAATCCCCAGTCCTCTCTCCCCCAAAACATCCTCAAACCATAACAGACCCCCACCATGCTTAACTGTTGGAAACACACATTCATCATTCAGTCTTTCTCTTGGTTTTCTTTTCATGTACACTCTCCTCTAACTAATATTCAAATTTGAACTTGTCTGTCCACAAAACATTTTGCTACTATTTCAGTGTGCAATTCTCATAACAGTCTTTTTTGCTTATTTACCTTTGGAATCAGGGGTTTCTTGATGACTATGCACTCCCTGAGCTCCATTGATCTAAGTTGATTTTTTATAGTTGAGAGTGATACTGATTGCTATTGAGAAGAATTAAGTTCAGCTCTAGAGCAGTTTTCTTTCTATTTCTTTTGCTCTAAATAATCAAGTGTTTATCTTCAGCAACAGTTGTCACTTTGATACTCCAGCTCTTTTTCTGTCAACATTTATGCTAGTTTCTAACTGCCTTTGTAATGAATATTACACCCCATATCTAGAAATCTTCAACTTCTTGGCAATTTTTCTTTGAGAGTAATCTTCTTTGAATAAAATTTCAATTTGTACCCTCACCTCAATGCTTAGCTGCTTCGATTTTACCATTTTGTGCAAATTACTTCAAAAATAAAAAATAAAAAATAAATAAAAACAAAGAAAATACTGTTGTAATGACACAATCTTTTCTTTTTTTTCAAACAGAGATGGCTACATATGTATTTTTTTTTTTACAACATTAGTCTACATATATTTTTTTTAACATTTAGAACATTCATTAACATTTAACTTAGTTAAAAATTTTTGTAATCTCAGAAAGTCTAATCAAGGGTTAATGATGAAAACAAAATATATTTCTCATGCAAAATATTCATAATTTAGCAAAATGTATTGTGGACAGATGAATCCAAATTTGAATTTTTTTTTTTAGTAAGAAGATCCTGAAGAAAGACTGAAAAATAAATGCAAATGCATTGTAGTTACTGAAATTTTATGTTTTACTTTAAAAAAAAAAATCTCATTTTAAGGTGTTTTGAAAGAAATGCAGGGTGTCTCCAAACATTTTTCCTGTAGTGTATGTGTGGATAATAAAAATATTTCATTTGAATTCATGAGGCATCTTGGAGTTGGATTACTCATGTTAATGCAATTTTTGCTGTTAAATCTTTTTATCACATTTTAACAGTTTTATCTTATAAGTGCTATTTTCTGAAGATATAATGAATCAGTATTTACATTTTTATTGCATACTTGAAAATTTTGTTTTATATATATTTATAATGAGGAAAGTAGCACAATTAAAAAAAGATTCTTGTTCAGATGTGTGTTGCAGAGTAAATATAAAAAATACAATCTAAATAATTTAGTAAATAGTCTATCAAAAAAAGGAGCAAAATGTTTGGAATTGACTGAATTATGGATTTTGTCTATTATACAGAAGTTATAATGTTGAACAAAACTTTAGATATAGTGAAAGAACTTAATTATTTCTAAAAGTGAATATGAAGCATCTTTTCAGTATGTCACTTATCAAAGTTTGTTTAAATAAAAATTGATAGTTTATTTAACTTAAGTGATCTAGTTATATTTGAGAATGCACTTTCTAAGGAAGTTCATTGTAAAAAGAAATTGATTTTTTGACATAATCATTGATGAGTCAAAATTGAGTGCAAGGTTCATTCTAGATATTCTTGAATAAACTATAAAAATGATATATATTATTTTAAAATAATTTAAATGTAAGAAATATTTACTTATTATCGTCAGCTTATATTTCTTCAAAATAACCTAATGCAATTTTTTCAACTTAAAAAATGTAATCAATTGTTATTTTCTGTCTTAATTCCTGTTCTTTAATTGTTCTCTTTCTTTAATAATGTTTCCTTTTTCTTATATTCTTTCACACTCAGTAACCCCTTGCATCTTTATTGGCTTTATTGCCTTGCTTGGGATAAAATGATTAAAAAAAAAAAAAAAAAAGCAACATTTTTTGCTTCATTATTTTAATAGATTTTTAAATTTACCTAATTCATTGATCAAATATCTAAGAAAATTATTTATAATATATAATATTTTTAATCATTTTAAAATTTTTGAAAAATAAATAATGCTATTAAAAAATTTGAAGTATAGAAATCTAAAAAAAAAATTTCTTTAAATGCATTATTTTGTATATTTTAAAATACAGGGCTAACATTGTGTTTGCACAAAAAGATTTAATTTTCCTTCAGAAATAAAACTGAAAACCAATGTTATTACTCCATGAGTGATATTAGAAATGCTTTCACAACTAGTTACTTAAAGGATCCTCTACTTTGTTTGAAATAGATCAACAGGAATACAGTTTATGGTGAGGTGAAGACAAAATAAATATATTTCTTTAAATTAAATCATTTATGTGCATTTTGCTGTAGAATTGATAAATCAATGCACTGATGTGCACACGTTAGCATTTTGATTCTTGCTAATTACTTTAAAATAATTCAACTAGAAACTGTTTATTGGCAATACAGATTTTTTTTAGCAAATGTCACAATAGAAAATATATAAAAAGTAAAGTATATATACATATATGTATGAAAACAATGTTTAGACATCAACTAGAACTATATGTCATATTTACTGTTGCAGTTGAAAAACAGAAGCTACATTTTTACATGTAAGATTGTGGATGAATAATGGTTCAACTGAAATTTCATACTTATTTATATTCTGAATAAAATTCCAAAAATAACTACATACATTAATTGAACTATTATGAGTTTTATAACCTTTATGATATGTACTTATAGTCAATAAAAATTTTCAAATGAAAATGAAATAGAATTCAATGCAATCAATAATCTATATTTATTTTTGTTAGTAAGGTTTGTTTATTTGCTAACATTGACAAAATTTTATCAATTTCAATGAGTATTTCATTAAAAGTATGAATAAAAAAAAGCAGAACTTGAAAATAATATTTTACAATATAAATGTTTCTTAGAAAATCATTAGTTATGATGGCAAATTTATTGCTAAAAGTATTACATTATCAAGAAAATGAACAAATAATATGGTCTTTACTTTTTACCAGACCCCATAATGTTTTTCTGTAGCGGACATCACTGGTAACTTTGAGTCTGCACTTGGTGTAAGATGCTCGTGTGATACAATATCGATGTTCTACATAGAAGGACTCAGTATAGGGTACAGAAGACATTGTAGTGGAAGTGTCTATTACATACAACATTCCGGGTTGACTCTGTTTGTAACATACCTAGCAAGGAAAGAGAAAAAAAAATATATGTAAATCAATGTCTAGAATAAGAACCAAAAAAAATTATTATAAAATATAGGAAAATGTTTATATAAACAAGAAATAATATGAATATATTGTCAGCTATTTGATCAAAAGATAATTTTCTTGCAAATGATAAATATGTGAAGAAAAACACTAAATGTCATGAAGCAGTTTAGTTTTTGCTCATTATCAGGGTAATTTTGCACAATAAATTCTTTATAATTTTAAATTAAAAAGTAAATGAATTTAAAAAAAATAATAATAAATTCATTAATAAAATGAAAACATAAATTTAAATGATTACAATTTCAGAAAAATGACATCCAGTACCATTTGTCCAGTGATAAATAATTTTGTTTAATTTCTATTATTTTATGGATATAATACAGTGTAACCCGGATATAAGAGAAACCCGGATATAAGAGAGATTTCCTCTGGTCCCAAATTAGAGCCTGTGTTAATGTATATAAATAGACCAAACCCGGATATAAAAGAGACTGGATATAAATCTAAAAGGAAGTAGGGCCCAAACAACTCAAGATCTTATATTCGGGTTACACTGTATATCTTATTTTCCTGGGAAACTAAAACTTGCACAATTGTTTTTATATCCAATTCCGTAAGAGCATTTTCTAGGTTATGAAAATGAAAGTATTTATAAATAAAACATTTTTAAGTAAAAAAGGAAAAAATATATTTTCTTGATTCCTATTATAAAAAGATGGTCTTGTTTTCTACAATAGAAAGAAAAAGTAATTCAAACTAAATAAACATAAAAGTATGAGATGAATTTTGGGTTTATTCTAACAAATACAAGTATTTAGAATTCTGCAAGTAAAAGTTACTCATAGCATTTATTGATAACAACTGTGTAGTAGTAATAAAGGTATATTTTAGTCAAAATTAATCAGGGAGATGATATTTTACATTTAAGAGCGAAATTTATCAGCACTCATCAGTTTTATATACAATTTAAAAGTATTGATAAAATGAAACATTTATGTTAATTATAACATAGATGCTTCCTTTTATAAACAGCAAAGATGAGGAAAAGAAACAAAGCAGATTCGGGAATAAGTGAACTAAAATAATGATAAAAAAAGCATTTATTTTCTTGGAGCTTGGATTAGTTTGAAGATTATGTTAGCAAGTACTATTTTTAGGAAGAGGATTGCAAGTCCTGCCTCCAAATTTTGGCTATTTTTATCCATAGCTGGAGTGAGAAATGAATTCCAATCCTGGTTTTAAATTCAGAGTTGTCCTTCTAAAGTAGTTGCCAACTAATGCTAGAATACAGTCTACTTTGCTATTTTACTCATATTTAGGGAAAGAAGAGATGGATTCATACTTTTCCCAAAAGCATCAGATATTTAAATAACTGCAGCATATTTAAAATATTGCATAACATTTAATAATAGAAAATGAATCACCCAATTTAGTGATCCCTTATTACTACATATAGACAAAAACTTAAAAGCAGTTTAAAACATGCTTTAAACAGTTTTTCTTTCAATAAAATTAGATTTAAACCTATTTTGGGGTTATGCATACAAAATATAACATTTTAATCTATATCCTTAAATATGAACAAAAACATACCATGATTTAGCCAATACATTTTTTACTAATGGATATTGGTTATATATACTATATATATATATATATATATATATATTATAGTAAGCTTTATTTAACTGTGATACAATAAAAAATCAAGCATTTTGTTTCAATTAACTAACTGTTCTGGTTATGAAAAATAGTACATAAACAAAATTAATGAAGGGTTTCACATAAATATTTGCACTATTAATGTACAGGAAATTTATATAATATGTATAAATCATACTAGACTACATGTCACTTATAGAATGTGGCAACAGTTTTATTAATGTTATTGAAACTAGTTGTAAAAATTAAGCCATTGATTTTGTGAGCTATTGTATTTCTTCCCATGAAACAGACTGCATAGTATCTAAAATAGCATTCTAAAGTTCATATTAGTTGATAAAATGCCAACAGAAAATTTCAATTGGGTTATGGTCAGGTGACTGAGCAGGCCACTCCATCAAATGGATGTTTTTGAAACCCATTTTCTTCAAATATTCATTAATTTTCTTCAATGAATGTGACAAAACATTATTACATATAAAAATAATATTTCTGAAAGTATTTGGCTTTTTCTTGAACTATGGTTCCATGCATAACTCTGAAAAATTAATGAATGTCTGGATTAAATAAACTATTCTATCATCTTTACAACCTATTTAAAAGTCTCAAACTTGCAATGTGGCTATTAATTTGACACTTTCATTCTAACCATGCAGATCGGCATTGCTATTATTGAGTAAATAAAGTGTTAGATCCCATTGAGTTTTTATTTTATATATTGATAAAACATAAAGAGGCTCATAATGAGAGAGACTGTATAAACATGCATTTTCAGTTACAGTATAAAGTATATTCCCTGAAGGAAACATAAATGTTTTTTCCTGTTTAATCAGTTAGAAAAAAAAAATTTACTATTAAACAAAAACTAAAACAAATTCAGCAAAGTTTTAGACAAAAAAATTCTTAAAAACACCTTTTTTTCCTCATATATATTTAATAACATACTGAATTGCCATAATCTTTAATGATTCCTGAAGTTAGAAGAATTTTATCAAGTAACGTTCTGAAGTGGAAAGACTATATTGAATCCATTGCTACATCAAAGGTAAGAAATTCGGTTCACTCTGTCATGCGAGACAATTTTTCTCTCTGGAGTCTATCTTACATATCTATAAGTTTAACATTTATCCTTGCTTAGAATATTGCTGCCACATATGATCTGGTGCTTCTGCTGTTTACCTTGTGCTCCTTGATAAGATCCAAAGAATTATTGGTCCTGATCTGGCAGCTTGGCTGCACCTTACTGCTGTAAGGTACCTTTTTTTATAAATACTTTCATGGTAATCATTAGGATGAGCTTTTCACTATGGTACCTAGACTGTATGAATTTAAGTGCAGTAAGTATTAGACTGGTGTTGAGATCTCATCAATTTACAGTTGAGCTGGTTAGATGTAGCTGTAAGTTTTATGTTAACAGTTTCTTTTCTTTAACTTTTCACTTGTGGAACTCCCTTCCAGCTCTATCCTTTCAAGTCAACTTTAATCTGCAAAAATTTAAATGCAATGTCAATCACTATCTACTGTCCTCCTGATTACTTTTTTTTCTTTTTGCTTATTATTAATGTTTCTGTTTCTAATTCTTCCACACTCTTGCCATAGTCTCTTAAATGATAGCCTAATATCTTCCCAAGATATCTGCAGAGTTGATTACCTTCTTGAATAATGTTGCCATTAATATACAAGTTTCATTGCTCTTTGGTTAGTCAAATTGTATTTTTTAGAGTTTTGTAATTTTGCAGATGTAAATGCTACATATAACTGGACCTATGTTCTAAAATGTTAGTCATAACAGATACTACCTGACAGAGGCTGACAAAGTAATAATGACCTAAAAGTCACCTTGATCTGTTTATTATGACTGCCCAATTAAAACGTTTGGTAGCACAAATATGCAAAAACAATTATTACAAATATACTTGATCTGTTCTGTATTTTTCAGAACAGCTTCAAAGAAATAGATGCCCTGATAACACAATGACCCACTTAACTAGAATAAACTCTGTGCATGTGTGGGGGTGTTTATTGGGTGTATTTTGGCAGCAATTTCTCATTTATATATATTTGATTAAAGATTAATGAAAGTTCTTTGTTTAAGAATTTTATTCATTTTTTTTGTTCTATTCAGATCATTTTCATGATTTCTGAGTAGAGTTTGATCATAAATTGTCTAATGTCTTATAAATAAAAATAAGCCATTATCAGAGATTTTTCCATAATAAGGATGTGCCTAGAGTTATTCACTGTTTCTTTGGTGATTTTTGAGTATCACATCTTCAAGTGTCGGTGAGTGTTGGATTGGGATTTTGCAAGTATCACAGCTTCATGGTGTTTAATATAATTAATATCTTTGTTGCTAAACTGAATTAAATTTTGTTGATACTGGATTGTTTTTTATGGTTATTCACTATTTTTATTCATTTTATTTGTCAAGTTTCTTGTGTTTTGTGGTATTATATGATTTTATTATCAGATAAATCACAAGTTAATCAACATGTGATTGTCTAATAAGTTACTTGAATTTTTATTAATGTTAGAGAGACTCTCCAAGTTTGAAAGTGAATTTGTAAACATTTGTTTGTTAAAGTTTTTATTGTATTGTTGGTGCTGATCATCATAAAGATTTTTATTTTTTTGTAATAAGTGATAAGTTTAATTTGTTTCTTTTTTTTTGGTCAATGGGTGATATGTATTTATGTATTAGTTTACTTACAGTTTTTCTTTTAGTTTGTGGTCATTGTGTATTTGGTTTGTGTATAATAGGTTAATGGTATTTTTCATATTATTTTTATTATTTGTATTACTACTATTCTTTATTGATTTAAGATAGTTTAATTTGTTTATGTAGTTCGGGAAATTATTGTTAATTAATATTTGTTTTATATTTTTAATAAATAAATGTGCTTGATTTATCAATGATTTATAATGGCTTTTGTATCTGTGTAGATATTTGCTATTATAGTTAAGCAGATATGGCTTTGAGAGTTTTTTTTTATTAATGTTAAATAATAGTTGAGCAGACTATTATTTTTTTAGAGAAGTGTATCTCTGCTTGGACTTCCTGGAGTTGACCATTAAGGTCAAATACAAGACAAGATAAAGGAAGTCAATTTTGATTGGCTGACTGAGCATAGGAATGATAGAGATATACATTTTTGGGGTGTCAAGTCTAAACTGTCAAACAATATTCCCTTTTCATGCCTGGATCTGGTTTCTAGTGGGGAGAAAGC